GCAGGAGTACTGGCATGGGGAAACTATATTACGAATTTAAGTCTTGAGATATTTGAATATCAAGTACCACAAGAAGAAAGTCCTAGGTTAACACAGTAAGTTTACCCTTAATTGTTATGGCCTAACATTAATGCTAGAATATAATATCAGCCAAGAAAAATGCAGAGAGTTTTCAAGTTACCTCCTTTGGGCTTGCTAGCAAATGAGTCCATATCCATGCCCAGTCCACCTAATCCAGAACCACTCCCAAATCCACTACCGGTAATGCTCATGTCATTGAATGTTTTCTCGATTACCCGGGGACCAGATATTGATGAGTATCCTCCTTTGTCAAGTTTTCCTCTTTCCATCTGCAAGAACACCAACCACAAAAGTTCACCACTTAGACATTAACAAATGACGGCAATGCCATTGTAATTTAAGCACTAAGGTTTGCGCGAGCTAAGCTGGAACCAAAGAAATGACAAGCTGACAGAAAAACAGAACACAACCAAAAAGTCAAACTAGAAATAGTAATGGAATATTGTTTTCCTAATGATCAAAGTCCACTACATTAACTGTCATTTATTTTCTCGATATAATATGTATTCTTAATATGAAAAAAGATGCAGTACATACCCTCATCTTATCAAGCTCACTAGCTTTCTTCTTCATCACGTCCCTTGTTTCATTGATTTTGCTTTGCATCATCAGCTTGTGAGCCTTCTCTTCATGGCTCTCCATCTCGCAATATTGTTTGACTTGTTGAACTGTTACATTTTCCTTATTTCCAAGAGAGATGGCTTCATCGAAGGCAAATATAAGCTCAAATGCTGTTTTACAAACACCCTCCTCATCAAGAGAGGGGGAGTATTCAGGCACCTATACAACTGTTAAGGAGATAAAAGTACTGGATTATTGCCAAGAAAGAAAATCAATGCAGCTTAGGAGCAAGTCTGAAGATGGATGGATATACAAAGCCCAAAAACATGATAGTTTGCATGTTGGTTTCAATCTAAATTCACATTGAAAATGTAGTGCCTTTCTTTCCTTTTTGTCCCCTTGGTGGTATATAGTGACAAGCTCAACTATACCGAGACATTATAATCTTCATCTTCATTTTATCCCACAAAACAAACGTTGGTAACATTATGTGATATACATTTATTCACTACAGAGCAATATATGTGTAGGTTAAAAAACCATGTTTTATATGTTTCATAGGATAGGATTGTATAGGTTAGTTAGGTCAAAAAACTGGAACAGTGAACATATGGGAAAAAAGGATACAAGCTTAGAGAGCAGCCTCAAGGTGTCCAGATCTTCAAGAATATTGCTCTGCTTGTTTGTGATAAGTAGCAAGTACAGGCCTTCTATTGGCTGATAAACATAGCGAACATTTTCAGTCTCAACATAAGTGTGCTGCTTCCCAGTTCCAACCAGTTTGGGGAAAGCTGCAAGTAATCCTTCAATCCTTATGCGAGACATGTCAACAAACTGTCTTGAAACAAGTGCTGCAATTGAAAAGCACAGAAAAGAAACAGCATTTAGTCTAATCACATTAACTTCCTGGAATGAAGCATCAACAAATTGGTAACCAGGAGGTGCTCACTACATAGGATTTTAGGGTTATAGGAGTTAAGAATCTACTGAGGTAACACGATAACAGCTAGTTTAGTATTTGGGTTCCACAAATTTGCATATGAGCTAACACTCTTATTAGCATAGGTGAATGATAAAAACTTATACAAATACTTTTTTTTTCTTTTTCTATGAACAAAAGGATTTGTTTTGATTACAATATAACAATATAAATTAAAAAAACTTCTTTTCGGCACTGAGAATAATACAATACAATATATAAACAACAGAATATTTCAAGCCAGCTGACCTTTCCCGGACTTTGAAATGATGGAAGCAGCAAGAACCACCTGCGGTACACAAAAACCAATAATAAGCTCTCCTAAACAAATCAACCACTTGCTTATACCAGCAAAATGTCAGAATGTTCCTTCTTAATATTACAAAGAGTAATAAACCATTAGGCATACCATTTTGAGGGCTTTTTTGGTACTCAGAATTACTGCACTTAAAATGGATTCAGGAATTATGCGCCTGCCAGAAGTGGAAAAAACAAGAGATTATTCAATCAGTACGACATAATCAGAAGATCTCCTGCGAGCTTAGATCCAGGCCCCAACTTTTCTTTTTTGCTTCCAGATCTTACTACTTAGTACTAAGAAGGTTAAGCCAAATTAAGAGAAAAGCAGCTTCCAGATCCAAAAGAGAAGCTATGATTTAACGCGAATCGACAGAGAAGAAGAAGAAGAAGCATATTGGGTAGAGATAGATGGGAAACGGATGGATGGACGCTCACCAGCGAGCGAGCGAAGGATGCGGCGGAAGAAGCAGCGGGGACGCCGGCGCTGCTGCTCGCGGGATGGAGATCGGCTCAGGCGGCCGGCGGCGAGCTCGCGAGGAGACCGAGGAGACGCAGGGAGATCGCTCGCCGGAGGCAGCCGCGGGATCTCGAGCGCCTGTCAGAATGGCTGATGAAGTAAACAAGGGAGGTAGCTGCTGGTCCCACTGTCAGTAACTTACTACCTCCATCCATTGTAGGCCGAGTTTAGTTACAAAATTTTTCTTCAAACTTCTGACTTTTTCATCACATCAAAACTTTCCTACACACACAAACTTCCAACTTTTCCGTCACATCGTTTCAATTTCAACCAAACTTCCAATTTTAACGTGAACTAAACACACCCGTAGTATTAAGGTGATTTCTACGTAGGGTGTGTTTAATTCCCTTTAAACTTTTAAAAGTTCCGTCACATCAAATATTTGGACATATGTATGGAGCATTAAATATGAAAAAAAAGCAATTACACAGTTTACATATAAATTGAGAGACAAATCTTTTGAGCCTAATTACGCCATGATTTGACAATGTGGTGCTACATTAAACATTTGCTAATGACGGATTAATTAGGCTTAATAAATCCGTCTCGCAGTTTATAGGTGGAATCTGTAATTTGTTTTGTTACTAATCTATATTTAATACTTCAAAAAAAATTAAAAAGGAACTAAACACGGCCAATATGATGTCTCATTCTGTACATGGGTTGTGGGTTTTTTTTTTTGCTAGCTTTCCCAACTTAATCGTCTCATTTTTCGCGCACATATTTTTCAAACTGCAAAACGGTATAGTTTTTATAAAAATTTTCTATACAAAAGATGGCGACGTAGAGCTGCATGAAGATGGCGCCGCTGAGCCTAACGAATCCCTTGAGCAAGCCGAGCTCGATGCCCCAGCTCTCCGGGGAAGTTCTTGACGCAGGTGACAAGCACGCCGGTGTTGGCAAACGACTGCGAGTTGGCGCCAGCTCCGCTCCGCTGCAGCCGACGCCCTGCTCCACTCCGCCGGCCACCGTCCTCGCTATCTCCGCTGCGACCGACGCCGCCCCATGCGCCTCTGAGAATAGAGAGAGAGGAGATAGAGCTGACATGTGGGCCCAAGGGCATTTTTGACATTTCACGCGATTTCTCTTTCCTCTTCAACCGGAAAGTATTATTTTAATCGGCGCGATGTCCACTGGCAAATTACCACGTTTATGGAGTGTTTTCCCCCAAAAGTGAGTTTGGGCAGTGTCCTAGGGCTAAAACCACACATAAACAGTGTCCTGTAGCAAAATTTGCCTTAGTTGTTTTAAGTATAAATCATGTTTTACGTGACGTAAAACATGATTTTGCTGTACTTATGTGATGAGTTTGGTTCGTTAATACACGAGATGAGTAAAGGGATAAAAGTTTAGATATGTTCATATCTCCTTAATGAAAAGTAATACTCTACTCCGGTTTCGAGAATTGAATTGCCAGGTGTTGTATTGATCTCACAATCGAGTTATAGTTATACACTTGTACGCCTCCCTGCCTTACTTATATAGCTTTGGGGGCAAGGCTTACAAGGAGAACAACCTAGCCGGATATGATTTTTTTCTATGCATTTACATAATCATATATAACTTAAGACTATGGAATATAGCTTGAAATACAATGCAACATAATGTCCAAAGCATTCATACATATACTTCCAATAGTAGTACATCTATGTGCAAAGTCGTATCTTCAAATTCATTTTACATAGACAGAGACAAAATTATGACAGAATTACAAACTTAAAACTGTCAAATTTTATTTTTGTTACGGCTAAAATATTATGAATTTGAGGTTAGGATTTTATCCCTAAGTGTAATACTATTGAAAGTACATACGTGAATTTTTCTAGATTTTTTAGTGACATTTGTTAGTTGGTGTGCACGTGTGTACACGTGAAAGCTTGTGTGCATAACATATGTTGCCTCACCACAATTGGATCAGAAACTCTACACTTGTTGTCTATGAGTTTTTAACCTTATGGTTACGTTCTTGTATGATTGTCGAGGAAGTTTAGTAGCGCATGCGAAACGAAAGCTCATTAGCATATAATTAATTAACTATTACAAACTTAAAATTGGATTTATTTGATTTTTTTTAAATAACTTCTATGTATTCTTTTTAAAATACCATTCAACAGTTTGAAAAGCATGTTAACGAAAGTATGCTAACAAAAAATGAGAAAGTTGAAGTTTGGAGTTGAAAAAAACAACTGAGCCTAAGAGATTAGATATTCGCTTCCAACAATTGGATTGGAAACTCTACAATTACACCTAACTTAGCTATCTACGAGTTTTTAACCTCTAAGAGATTAGATAAAAAGAACTTGTTGAATGCTGGTGCTTAAAAAATCCCCAAATTTTCACCAAGCACAGGAGATAACCCACTCCAATCCACTCATACAGACAAATCACGAAGACCAAGAAAGAGTAGGGAAAGAATGAATCTCAACAAACTCAAGCCAATGGCACCTTAATATGCTATTGCAATAAAATCAACAATCTTAGCTTTGGGGTGGGGAGGGGTTTAAATACCGCCTCACACTAATCTGATGGTTGGAGGCAAAGATTACTCATATGGGCTTGTGGTAAGCCATGGAAGGTTTGTAAATGCTTATATTATTGGTGAAAGAGGAGTGCATTTGTAAACCAGGTTAGAGATGGAAAAGTCCCAGCTTTTTATGAGCTACTCAACAAAGGGGTATAATGCTCTTAAAGATTTGAATTTCAACAAATACATCAGCTTCGCATCTCAATGAAATCATGCTATCCATAGTAGTTCTGATTTTTGCTTACTTGTACCACGAGTAACTTGTTGTTTGTGCTAGTATTGTTTTTCTAGTGCTACATATAGTAGTCGTTGCCATCTTGATCTTGCTGGTGCAGAATCTATGTCGGAAAAAAAAACCCACCGCCATTAAGCAGGCCTGAAACCCCAAAAAGAATATTCAGCTCGTTGATACTAGGGTAAATGTATCCAGAAATATGAGTATTCCTTATTCATTGTTGTTACCTGGTGTTAAACTTGCTGCAACAATCGGTCTCCAACAGGAACCTATAATTACTTTATAGAGTTTGGCAGGCAGATACATGGATTGCAAAACGATCATGCTAGCTGCAGGCGGGGGGTTGTACAAGTGATCCGGGCAAAATCCACAACCTACTCAATCCAATCCTTCTCTTCTTCGGCTGGAGTATCCACCTTGGCTGCTGCAGAAGCGTAGCTCACGCTGCTGTCTCTCATGCTCTTGCACTGGCTTGACTGTTCATACCGAACAAATCTGATCTTGATCTTCGTCGAACAATGTTTCAGCATCTGGAACATTATATTGCATAAAGAGGACGAAGTTATAGAAGTAGAAATGAAGAGATAACACTAGTTAGATCGCCACAACGCTTACACTGAGGAAAACGCTGATGGGGTGGCGCCCACATATGGTATTTTCATACTCTTGCAAGTACTGCTTGAATGCATCTGGATTACCAGTCTCTATTATCTCCATGCCCATGTGGTCCAAGGCCTCTATCGATTTATGTATAGCACCATGGCTCTTGTCGTAGTATGTGTAACTAAACCTGATGAGACGATGCAGGTGAGCATAATCATATGCAAATCCTATAAGATCGAAGTAACAACTACAACTTAGCCTGGTGATGTATCATGGGCAAGCGTTCTTTGGTGTCCAATTATGAAATGAACTGATCTGGGCTGTTCAATCACGTTTTCTACACTATCGATCAAAGCAGATCCGGGTGAAACAAAGCCTGGAGCAAATTAGCTCCCTTTTTACTTCCCACCAAAATCTTATGCAAATAAATTGTGTCGTCCCTGAACCGCAAACAACATCAGCCCACAGCGACCTCCCCCCATCTTCACACTCCTACAACTCCAAACGCTTGCACACTGGTGATCACCATCGTTGGGCAGATGGTGGACCCCAACATGATCAGGCTAAGCCATGTGGCAGAAGTAAACCAGGATACATCTACAGCATCCGGTGTTTCTATAGATGAATTTAGCAGGGAAGCAAGGTGCTGTCACCATCCACCAGAGATGGATTCGAGATTGGGGTTTGCGATATAGTGTTATTACAACATGTGCCAGGTGGAGTTGTTTTTTTCTTTCAAAATTGAGATGGTTCTAGGATCTGCCAATTGGATCTGATGGGTTCTCAAATTCCATCTGATGCCTATATCGATTATTCGAGCCTAAATGTTATTCCACATGATAAGTTGCATTTATGCTAAGTGGAAATACAAGATACTGCACAACAATATCTAGAGTACTCTTGCTATGAGGGGTTCAATTGATAGACAAATGCTGCTCATATGATGGTACCCTTTTCGTTATTGAGAGCAAATTTTGACATCTACTGAAGTTCAAATTTGCATATACAAAATTAAGATTTTGTACTGAAATTTAAACTTGGAAAGAACCATATTTGTAAGTGTGATGATGAGTTGATCTGAAAAGAGAGTCATAGCTAAAACTGCTATTATGGCATACTATCTACCTTCTGGAAAGAGTACAGGTAGAAAGACTAAGAATTTGGACAATCTATAGGCCTACTAAAAAAATATTCGGCAAGAGAACTCTAAGATTGTGGATTTTGCATCATGAGCTCATTTTAACTAAATTGGCTAGCAAATTTAATGAAAAACCAGGCATGCCAACTCTTCTGCTTTTCTACATGGCCAGATCTTTAGCCTCGAATAGGCCAAACACTGCAAACTTCATTAATTAGTTCTGCAGAACTAGTAGATGACAAATGTGACACAGGACAATTAAAGTTTTCTCACACTAAAGATTACCATAGGAAAACAAGCAAGTTGGCAGAGCATGAAAAAGCTGACAGTAGAAATTAAGTATTTACCGGGTTCCCCAGTGGCAGAAATCTGAGGAGATAGAAAAGAAGTTCTTCGGATCGTCAAGATATCTAGAGAGCAACTGCCCATACATGGCTTCATTTTGGTCTCAACCCATTTACAGAAAAAGGGGTAAGTTGATTAGTGGGTGCAGGAGGGTCTCAATAAGGTTTAGAGATTTAAACATTGGTTTAAGTAGGTAACTTTGCAAAAGATCCGAAAATATTTCCTTTTGTAAGGCATTTGACCTGGAGAGGTGCCTTTCAGAATTTTTTTTTTCCAATCTCGTCTAATTTTGTGATGACCCAGATGTTTCAGTTGCCCAGTCTTTAGAGGAAGGTGTCTCAGATGTTTCTTTTAGAACTCTTGGAATATCAGAATGTACTGAAACATGTTGCTATATTTGCTGAGTAGGGTGCAGTTCTATAAAGTGTAAATCATGTGAGTTGGCTGTTGAGAAATCTTAACGCCTTTTCTGGTCAAATGCATCGTTTATGTTAAGAGAGAACTGGCTACCTACCACCCAGATCTTCTATACAGATATATACCATTGATTTTTTTGGTTCTCCTTGATACTATCAAGACCTTCTGATCCTTCCTCTAATTATCACACATCCATTTTCTCACATTAACTGAGACCCTGAGCTACCCTATCTGGCATGCTATACACCGTCCCATACCAAAGCCCTCCATCCTTAACACATAGAACTTTGCCTTTGTAACCACCTTGGAGAGAAGGCCTAGTGTGCAACATGGCCCCCTCTTCCCCTCAGACCAGACTTATACTAATTTGCTTTTGTTATTCTTGATAGATGGGTGAAATTCAAACAAAATACAAGCAGATTGTTTAAGCACAACAGGAAGAGATTTGTTGATACATCGTGGGTAAGAACCTGCAAAGAGAGAACATGAATTCCCTTAGCGCGTTGGATCATCGAATAATCTGAGCCAGCGGATTCTCACTAAACCTGGGTAAAGCCCAGGTTTAGTGAGGGATGTGACACCCCTACTATCAGTTATTGTGCTAGGAGGGGTATGGGCATGCTCAGCGCTTTAACTGATAGCCTGAGAGTTTTGTTTAGTGAGGTTTGAAGGCTAAATGGTTTGTTCTGGACTTGCTTATTTTGTTTATGGCTTATGCTGGTCTCCCTTGCAAGGGCCTTATGACCATGATGTTTGCTTTGATCAATGTAACTAAAGGCCATGCTGCTACTGAGAGAAAGATACTCCATCCGACCTAAAATATAGCAACCTAATACTTGATTAGACACCACCTAGTACTATGAATCTTGATAGGGGTCTGTCCACATTCGTAGTACCAGGTGGTGTCTAATCGAGTACTACTTTAGTATTTTGCTATATTTTAGGACGGAGTGAGTATATAGATGTGTGGTTTTTGCATCAAACCAGTTACACATTGTTTGCAACGAGGAGCACTTGACAATGTTTAAACACATTGAATAATATAATAACTCATATACTGTACAGTGTGCCTGTGGCAATTCACTTATATTGGACTAATGTGTGATATTGAAAATTTTCAGGCAACTCAAGAAAAAGTAGCAACGATAGCAGGTGGGGTGGCAGATTATTACCACCACTACTTTAAAAGGGGAATCTTAAGCACAAATGGCTCTGTCTGAAAATATAGAAAGTTCAAAACAGAAATAATTAATACGGATGGATGTCTAAAAATAATTATGTCGTAAAATCATATTAGTACTGCTAAAGTGCTAATCATGCATGGAAGGCATATTGGGTCAGGTTAAGGGCAATACTAATGTTGGTGTTCTGGCCTATTATCCAAGAGAAATCTTAGGTAAAGACGGTAATTAGATTGCATGGCATGTAATATGAATGTAAAATATTCAAGTCAGTAACAGCATACCTTCATGGTCTACTGGCAAATCCCCAATTGGGGTGCTATAAATAGTAGCTCTTGTTAATGCGCATTTTGGAGTATAGTAGTGATGTGAGGGGCCTAACAGGAAGACCCGAGAACTGGATCACATACAGGAAAACATATTAGATGGGCAAAGTGAAAATTAGAATAAAGTAATCAGCTATAATAATGTAAGTAGTATTTTTTGGACATTCTTAAAAGCTGAAGCTGATTCTGAATTTCAGAGTTTGATTTTGCATCTCTCTTTTCATCATTGTTAAGGAGACAAGTAAAAAATCTACCAAAACTATTCTTAAAAATACATATTCAAAATTCAAAAGTAGCAGAACTATTGCAGTGTTTAGAATGACAAAAGCATATCATATATTTATGCAACAAAAGTGAATGTTTTATGATTATCTTGGTGTGTTCGGTTTGAATAGACATGGGATGTTTGGAAACTGAGGTTGTCAGGAAATGGCCTATAGCTTTGGTGGTGAGGTAGGTGTTTAACATCCTCACTCACCCGGGTTTAAACTCTAGGATTAATACATGTGACCATCTAGTTCTTTAGTTAATGCTAGAACCCATGTCCAACTTTCAAAATAAAATAAATAAAAATGCATGCATCACTCATAAAGATCACTTTACCAATTATACCAATGAGAGATAAAAGTACAGGTTGATAAAATGGTACATCCGAGGTACTTTTACATGAAAGCATTCAAGTCAAGGTATTACCAGTACAGCAAGACAGTGATTTACTATTAGAAGATCTGAAATTTTGAGAGAGTAACAGTAATGTGTAAATAACATACATGTTAGTTGGATCAATGTTGCCAAAAGCATATGCCGCACACCGCCCTGAGTATGAATAGCCAGCATGGCTGTAATGGCAAGAAACAATTGTTAAAATAGAACAGAAGAAATTCACCATCATATGAATAGTTAAATACCATCTTACGGCGCAATTACTGCACTCACATCAGGGGACTTGGTTAGACCAGCAGCCCTCAGCCAACCATCAAGTTCCTCATCCAGTTTCCTGGCTAACATGGAGTAACGAATTTAGGAGACAGAGCTAAAGTGGTAAATTGTCGAACCAAAATTTTAAAAAGAAGAAAATGGTTGAGATCCCTGAAAGTTTTCAACAAATTACATGCTTTTATGAATTAATGTTGGAAACTGCAGAGCAAGAAGATAATGGAGTCAGCTAGGAATGAATGGTTCAACTCCCAGTAAAACTAAACAGCTCATGTGTTTCCAGAATGGTCTGACAGCTAAAATAGTTATTGCATTTGCATAACAAATAGCAAATGATCCAGTTTCATCAATCATGTCAGCCTACTACGTGTTTGGGCAAAAAAGAATGATATTAATCTAATAAGCAGTACCTAAAATGTCATCATGCCTGATAGCACAATAAAATTGATCCATGTCCATATGATAAGGTTGCCGGTAATTCATTCCTTCTAATAAAAAACTATTCCGAAAGTGCATAATTTATATGAAACCATGTATAACAATGGCAAGCGGTTCCTGCATTTTTCTAACAATATAAAAATAGTTCCCACAATCTTAGCAACTAAATTTGAAGCAAGAGAGCCGTAATGACTGGTGAAATCATCCAAAATGCCAACCAAACAATTCAAGCACGCATATTTGGATGACTATCAAGAAAATTATTCACAACAACCTGCAAAACATCAACCGCCAACATATATCAAGTTATCAACAGTTTGAAGCTACTAGACTATTTACACTCCAGATCGTTTAAAACTAAAACTCCGAAGATATGCAGCATCCTCTTTTGCATTTTGAAAAGCGCACACAATCGAACAAGTCAACACTCACTCCTCCACAACAAACAACACAAGTGCACTCCAAGAAGCTAGGCTAGGCCGCGGAATTGAGTAATCACCACCACCGAACCGGACCCCGTTAATTCCCCAAATCTCGTAAGCAAGAAATCCCTCCTCTAACTTCTCCCCCCTCCCCAAAAGTGGGAGAATCCATCGATTGGATTGAACTAGTAAGAAGCCTCCTCCTCCAACCCCACACCCCCCTGCCCCAAAGTGGGAGAATCCATCGATCGGATTGAACTACTCCCTCCGTTTCACAATGTAAGACTTTTTAACATTGCCCACATTCACATAGATGTTAATGAATCTAGATATATATGTGTGTCTAGATTCATTAACATCTATATGAATGTGAGCAATGCTAGGAAGTCTTACATTGTGAAACGGAGGGAGTAGTAGAGATTGCAGTAGCGGAGGAGAGTGGATCAAGTACCATTGTTGGTGTACCAAGAGCCGGCGTGCGAGGCCCTCCTCCATCCCCACCCCGCAGCAGAGAAGAAGAGCGGTTTCGATGGCGGCAGCAAGGAAGAGGAATCCCTCCCTCCCCTCTGGCCCTCTCGTCTTCCTTGTTAGCTTAGGTTGGTTTTTCCGTCTGGGCTGAAAAATAAAAAGTAATCACTGCCTCAAGTTGCCACTCCAACTTTCAAGAACTGCAAAAGAAGAAAAGATATGTAGTGATTGAGAAAAAATGAGTCCTGAAGAAAATAGTATTTGATGGCCTGTTTAGCAAGAGAAAAGAATGGGCTCTCCTCATCACCAAAAGAAAACCTAACACAAAGTTAGCTTCAACAGACAAGCACCAAGCCACTGAGATTAATCCGTTCACCAATTTCAAGTTGAATACTCAATTGAGACCACGTGGATCTTTACACCGAAGTGCATGTATTATGTTCATGTGCACACATGCAAGTATAAAAGGTGGATTAAAGTAGATAGTGTCCTGCTGCAATGAAAATCCCACCGATTCACAAGTAAATAGCAGAAAAGATGACAGACGATATTTCCCAACAGATTCGGGTGCACTGCTTAAGGCAATACTACAAACAATATTCGGATTCCTATATGAACAGTAGTAAACAGTGGAGTACCTTAGGAAATCCAGCGATGGACGTCGGGGGCGGACGGATCAGATCGGCAACGGGGAAGAGATGTTCCTGGCGATGGCGGTTGGATCATGGGGATGGGGGGCGGCGCGAGAAATGTGCCCGGCGGCTGAATGCGGAGATGCGCGGCATCGGTGACGGCGATGAATCGGCGGCGGCACCTGTGAGGGCGAGGCAGAGATATTAGAGGAGGATTAGGGTTTGGAAGCGCGGCGAGGAAGGCTGAGCAGGAGCAGACCGCGAGGAGATCTTGACGATCTTGTTTTGCCCGGCGCGGCAGCCGGCAGGGGCAAAGGCGGCGACAGGACGAGAAAATTTACATATTGCTAACTCCAAAAACGGGTTTCGCTCAAATGCCGTATAGGAGTGGTTTCACCTGAAGCCTACTTACTATAATACCCGAACAGACAAAAATACCCTTATTTCTACCCTTCTTCCACCTCCGTCGGTGACCAGCGGCGCAGGGATAGCTGGTCTGCGGCCGGCGCGGCGCGCGGTCGCGTGTTTGTCACTGGGGGCGTCCGCGCAGGCTACGACCCTGCCGTCACCCGCTCTGGCGCGTTGTGGGACCCCGCGGCCTCGCCGCCCACCGCCGCGTGGGAGCCGATCCTGCCGCTGCGCGACGGGCGGTTCAGCCGCGGAGGCCGTCTGCTCCGGCGGCAAGGTCTGCATGGTCAACCTCCGCAGCCGCAACGCTAAGGAGCGCTTAGTGTTCGACCTCCGTGCCGATCGTTGGAAGGACATGCCGCCCCGCATGCTCGCCGGTTGGAAGGGCCCCGCGGCGGCGTCGCCCCTGGACAACGGCGAGACCATCTACGTTTTGGATGAGGAGCGTGGCGCGCTCACCGCCTACGACTGGGGCACCGCTCGGTAGAGGATGGTAGCTGAGTCCGAGCGCCTCAAGGGCGCGGCGGAGATGACCGTCGGCGGCGGGAAGGCATGCGTGGTGGCCCTCGGTGGTGGGAAGGTGTTGATCGTGGACATCATGCCGCCGTCGCTGCTCAAGACGTCACCAGCAGCGAGGAGGGAATCGTGGGACAGGAGGTGGCGGCGCCGGCTGGGAAGCAGGTGGTGGCACCAGATCCACGCGCTCGTCGGTGGCGGCGGCAGTCGGTGAACTACGCACTCGGCGGCAGGCAGTGAACCGCGCTCAGCGGCATGTGGATGAAGGGTAGCATTCTGGCATGTAACCTTCGGTTGAAAGTGGCATTTTAAAGAAACCCACTACCAGCATGGCATTTGAGCTAAACCTGGTTTTGAAGATGGCACAACGTCAATTTTCTCCGACAGGACAGGAGCAGCGATGAGGAGCCTCAGTTGGATGAAAACCGTCGGAAAAACACTATACCATTTTCATTTTCTTTTTTTTCGTGAAAACGGAATGGGAACGTTAGACCCGAAAACGGTAACGAAATTGGTAATATTGGTATATCAGAAACGGGACCATCGAAACGGAATATACTGATATTGGTTGGAAGTCAACAAATCATATCGGAATCAGCGAAGAGTGGCATAGAACACCGAGAAAACTAATTCACCCATACACGCTGGCGGCGCACACTTCCACGTGAGGCATACACCCAATGAAACCTGCTACTTCTACCGTGTGAAAGGTCTGTTGCATGATTCTATATTTCTATCTTGCACAAGTTAGTTAATCCATGCCCACGCGAGATTTTGCATTATTTTTTTCGTGTTTTTTCTTAATCACGCGTGCATGATTTTTTTTCACGATTTTTTTTTATTTTTTTGTGAATTTTTTAAATCATGTGCACCTGAATGCGCCTGATTCAACTCGAATTTTGAGTCAAAAGTTTTTAAAATTTTAGTTAAAAGTTTTGAATTTTGAGATGAAAGTTTTCATATTTGAGTTAAAAGTTTTCAAAATCCGATATAAAAGTTTTTAAATCTTGACTTTGAAAGTTTTCAAATCTGGATTAAAAATTTTCAAAAAATCTTGTTAAGTTTTCAAATCTAAGTTGAAAGTTTTAATTTGAAACTTTTTAAATCTAAGTTGAAAATTTTCCAAATCGTTAAAAGTTTTATTGATGTACTAGGAGGAGAGGCCGAGAGGGGCTGTGCCATCTAGCACGCACGTACCCATTAGGAATCTCTATAGCACACATTTAACTATGCGCGAAGATGACCTTTTAACTTTATTCTTACATCATCACACTCCACATAACATCATTATATGATGATTAACGATATGATAATAAGTTTGATAAACAATATAAACAAAGTTCAACAGTACTTTAGCATCGATAAGCTGAGGAGACCAAAGTTCAGCAAAATCCACATGCCACATCATAGGGTTAGCAACATTTTCTTGGTCACTTCCCCTTTTTTATGAGCTGCAAGCGTACCAGGCTTTCTTCATTTATGGGCTTCCGATGGGTTTGGCCGGCTGAGCCACTGGGGAACTTTCAGATTTTTTTTTCAGAATTTTGACGAAAACTACCGTACAAATACAGTTACCGACAAACCGGTCGGGAAAACCTCCATCCTATTTCCACTACCATTTTCGGAAGATATTATCGTTTCCATTTCCACCACCGTCGGTTACCGATACCGACTGAAACAGTCGATGCAAACTGAAAACGGCAGCCGAAAATCTCGGAAATTTCCAGATCGTTTTCACCCCTACGAGGAGGCGGGTTGTGTCGTGGCGCAACTGGGCAGAACGCATTTTCGGGTGGTGGTTTGGTCTTTGGTGGATGTGAAGGAGGTGGGAAGCAGTGCCTAGGCATGTTAACACTTACCCCCTCTGTCCGAAAAAAAAACAATCTTAGGTTTGAACCTGGATACATGTGTGTCTGTGTCCAATTTAGGTTCAAACCCATGATTGATTTTTTTTTGGAGGGGGCGGAGGGGACGGAGGGAGTACTGGCCATAGTGGCATCGGTGGCGCAGCTTTGCGTCGTCGTGGTTTGCATGTACACTCAGCCATCCGCAAGTGGCCGCTACGCGTGCAAGTTCTCTAGTGTCTGGCTAGGATTGAGCGAGCCAAAAATATCGTATAAAGGAAATGTGCATATGGTACATTTTGTTAGCACCTAATGTAACTGGCCTTAGATTTATGCCGCTTCCCTCCTTGCTCGGCCGCCACGCGCTACCCCTCATCACTCACACCTGGAGAGAGGACAGAGAGGGGAGAGAGATGAATAGAGGGGAGTTGAGGAGAGAGGAGGGGTGAGAATGACATGTGGGACCCACGTGGCCCCCACCATTTTGAAATTATTTTTTTTGGTGTAATTGACATGCGGGCCCACAATTTTATTATTTTTCAAATCAAATTGCCACGTAAGCGCCACGTCACTGCCACATCATATGAAGTCCGAGTCAAATTAGCCACGTAAGCGTCACGTAAGCGAAAACTGCCGTTCAAACCGCCATAGGACCTATATTGCACCGGTTTTGACAGTTGAGGGACCCGCCGTATCTAGTTTTTCGGTTGAAGGACGAAAATCGGATTCGTTGACAAGCTAAGGGACCTCAGATGAACTTATTCCTAGAAGAGAAGATAGATGAAGTACGTTGGGCTTGGGCCCAAGGTGCGGCCCATCCCTTCCCAGCCGTCTCGTCTCTCTCTCTCTCTCTCAAAAAAAAAAAAAAGAAGTGGAGTAATTTTCCCGTCTCCTTCGGCGGCATCCACCCCAATTCATCCGGGAAGGGGAGGAGGCGTCCTTCCTTCGCCGCTAAGCAAGCATCCAGCCCACCCAGCCATCCATCCAGGGAAAGGGTAGGGGAAGGTGGCAATGAGGATGTCCATGCCCAGGTGACTCTTAGATTTCTTCGGTTTGAGGGAAGGGAGGAAGGGGGATCGATTTCTTCTTCGGTTCTGATTTGGCGGAGGAGGAGGAGGAGCACGACACCCAACGATATGGTGGGCGTGCTGTCCAACCGGGTAGATCGGCTGGACCTCGCCGCCGGGGATCACATCTACTCTTGGAGAACTGCCTACCTCTATGCGCACCACGGTGATTCTTCTTCTTCTTCTTCTTCCTCCTCCTCCGATGCTTGCTATGCTTCTTCATCCCCAAAAACCTAGTCACTCTTCATCCATGTGAAATACAATGTGTCTGATCTGGAGATGGAGAAGTAGTAGTAATTTGTTCATGGAAAAAACAAAGCTTGTATTTATTTTCAGTTAGTATCCCTTTTCCAAGTCATAAGTCAACAACTGTGCCTGCTCAAGGCTCCAGTGAACAATCACCTCCTATGCTGGCTGTTGATGCTGCCTGATGCAAAATGATTAACCTGGAAATGGTCGAACCTGGCTGACATTTGTCCATAACCTGTTGATGCTGTCCGCTGTGTCTTACCGATTTAAGCCATGTGGATTACCAGTCAGCTCAAGGAAATCGGTACCATTTTCCCTGAGCACTCAAGAATACAATTTTGGGCGATATCTTTAGGAGTCTGGTTGTTTGGCCACCTGGATTTCCATTCTTTTCTTGTTTTTACCATTGTCCAAAGAAATAAGTCTGGAGGCACTAAAAAGAAGTCTCGTCTGTTGAGTCGCATGGAACCTGCATCTCAATCGAAGGATTCTGCTTATCTTTCCATTTAAGATAAATCCATCTCAAATTTAGAGCTCTCCCGAACACAGGTAGGTATTTTATGCCCAACCTGCCCTTTTTTTTGGTGTACAAACCTTAGACAATTAACTAAACAATGCCCACCAATCCACCATCACAATGGCCATCCCCTTTCCAAATAAAGCCTCTCCTATTCTAATATATTGACGTGCAATCATTTTGCGCATTCCCGAAAATAAAGCCTCTCCTACATGCTGGTAACCGACATATGCACAATATACCGTCGGCGATGTCATTTGCCATCTATTATGGAAAACATAACACTCATTACTTGATTGGCATGCCACGCAACATTTATGTGCTCCATGTCCGTTAACCCCACATTATACAGTCAGTTCATGTTTTCCTGTTGACTTATTTGCTAAGGAGCAAGGATACTCGCTAAGACCATGTCTCTGACCTGTTCCCGAAATTGAACTTCATTTTCAGGGATATATATTGGTGATGCCATGGTTATTCATTTTACAAGAGCAACTGGACATGAAATTGGGACAGGAACATTCTTGGACATGTTCCTTTTCAGCTCATCTCCAGCAACGGAGGAGGGTCCTCCCTGCGAGAAATGTGGTCACCTGATTAAGCAGCAGGGGGTCATAATGTCGTGCCTCGATTGCTTCTTGGATGGGGGCAATCCGTACCTGTTCGACTACGCGGTGTCCCCCGCTTTCTTCCTCGTGAAAGCGCGAGGAGGAACGTGCACCCTGGCAGCCTCGGACCCCGCCGACATCGTGATCCACCGTGCCCAGCACCTCCTGAACAGCGGGTTCGGGACGTATAGCCTGTTCAAGAACAATTGCGAGGACTTTGCGATATACTGCAAGACGGGGCTGCTGGTGGAGACCGCTTTCAGCGTGGGGCGCAGCGGGCAGCTGGCCTCCCTCACGGCTGCCTTCAGCGCGGTGGCCTCGTCGCCGCTCCGGTTCCTGACGACCAGCGCTGGTGGGCTGGTGGTTGTGACGAGCGGCATGTACTGCGTGGGGCGATATGTCTCAGATATCGGTGTTCGCCGCGATGTCGTCAAAGTGCCCGTGGAGAGGCTGGTGGAGCACTGGCCGCCGCGGGATGTTGCTGTTGCTCCTCCTCAGGAAAGCCATCAAGAATGCCAAGGAAATGATGTTGCTCCTCAAGAATGCCATGGAGACGGCGATGGCGGCTGCGTCTCGGAGTCGCTGAGCTAAGCTCTTACTAATAGGAAAAAGGCAGTGTGCCATTCGATCTGTTGCCGATTGTACCGATTATGAATGTATCATCGTTTATGTTGCTCCTCAAGAATGCCAAGGAAATGTTGCTCCTCAAGAATGCCATGGAGACGGCCATGGCGGCTGCGTCTCGGAGTCGCTGAGCTAACTCTTACTGATAGGAAAAAGGCAGTGTGCCATTCGATCTGTTGTCGATTGTACCGATTGCTCTGCGCTGTTTGTATTCTGTGATTCTGTCCATATGAATGTATCATCGTTTTTATTTACTGTATCTGCATTCTGGTACCTTGAATGGGGAATCCTGAAATCGATGCCTGCTGTCATTGTCCGACTTCTCGGTTCCCATTGAACCAAGATATCCAGTGTTTTGCAGGAATTTGGAGCTAGATGCGTCCAAGCGAGTGCTTGCTGCTGCAATTGTGTCAAGCTGTAGACTGATTGAACAAAATCCATACTTTTGGGATACTAGTAAGCAGCGCACAGATCGCATATCATTTGACTTACAGCATACACATTAATTCTTCAAGTCTCAACTTGGATTACAGCGAGATTAACGTGCGCTCCTCCCTAACACCTCTACGTCACATCCCGTAGTTAACCGGACGTAGAGAGAGAGAGAGAGAGAGAGAGAGAGAGAGAGAGAGAATACATCTATTATTCAGATATTATTCCAATGTGTTTCTGGACAAGTAGCCTAAACTCCGATCAGTCTCGAGAAGCCTGCCCGTGTGTGCAAAATCCAGAAATCACCCAGGACAAATTTACATGATCCCAACCGTATTTGAGGCCATTAACATTGATTAAAGTCAAACTATGGCCGTTCCGACTCCGAAGGCGCTATCATAGTTCCTCACCATGTTCTTCGTCGAGGGCATACCAGCAACAACATCTTCTTCGATGCCACATTCGTTTGTGCCCCTTATGATCTTGAAGTACCCATCCTACCAGTATCACCGACCAAACATTATTAATAGCTCAAAAAATACAAATTATGCAACATTTCACTTATTGAACTTATATATTTGCCAAGGACTTACATCGCCCCATCCTCTGTTCCACTGGTTTGCAAGCAGCTGTAACACACAAAAGGATGAAAGAAAGAAAATTAGTGCTTAAATATAGGTTTAATTAATAGATAACGTAATATGGGGAATAGACAAGTACCCAGTAATCCTCGCCAGCATCCGTGGTTCCCCATCCAATCAACTTGACAGCATGACCACCCATCATGCCACCTGTGATGTGCTTGTATACTCCTGATTTGTAGTGTGCAAAATCCTTCACAATGTTGGAGCATTAAATCAAATCAACAATGCTATGCATCAAAGAGAAATCATACTCTTTTCTGATAGACCTCAGAATGTTATAAATGAAGTCACAAAACATGCGTAAAATTAGATGTGTAGCCAATTGAACCAAACTCCAACGTTTGAAAGATTACTAGTGTGCACATCTTCTCATGTAGTGCACCAGAAAAAGATAAATACTCCAGGCCCCAGAAAATATCTAAGAACTACTTTCCTGTTTGGGTTATTTTCATCCCCCACCCCTCTTCTTCCGTCTTGTTCTTCCTAAGCCTTATCTCTATACGTAAAGCTCTTTTTAAGAAGCTTTATATTCTGCACGTCATATTTTATTTGAAAGTGACAAAGCAGCAACTGCAGCCTACAGTCCATTTTGATTTCTGCTAACCAACAATCAACAATTTGGTGAAAGAGCATGGAAAAAAAATAGAAAGTCAATGGTACCTCATAAACGGTGAAAGCAACTTCTACAGGGCCATTTTGGTAGACCTCTGCCATTATGTCATGTGGATCAGAATTTACTCTGTATGCATTGACACTGAAATGCTTCTTTTCCAGCCAAACTTGGTTCTGCACCTTGCATTTCTTCTCGCACACTGGCGTAGGATAAGCAGGTTCGCATCCTGGATGCTTACAACCGACCTGATCAAAGTATGGATCGCACTGCAAAACAATGGAAAATGTGCATTTTCTGAGTATATCAAGCTGAACTAATGTTGCAGGAGCCGGGAAAAAAATATTCACATATAGGATTACTGCTGGATCATGCAGAAACATTCATGTCATAGCATGTAGAAAATGGACAATACCTCATCGGTAACAACACCATTCCGAACAAAGTAGCGCCATGCCATGATAGGATAGCCTCCATCACAACCATCGCCGCACATGAAACCGCAGCATGCCACTAGGTCATTGACAGATAGCGAAATGTTCTACAAGGAATAAAAAACAGTAGCTTGGCTATGTGAGCAAAGGAACAATAAATTAAGTTAGAAGCCTTGGCCATGAGAACGGACTTGTCATTCATATTCACTGACCATGTTGAAATGAATGCAGAAACGATCCTGGAGACACTCCACAGCACCAAATGCCCAACACGAGCCACAGTGACCCTGTCATTGTCAACCAAGACATAATACCTATTATATCTTGCATTCTAAACCCTCATGGGATTAACAATTTATGGTGGTGCGCGTAGTTTACCTGATCTGCGCATGAAAATCAACATTTCCCATGGTTTGGTGGAAAATTATTGAGGAAATGAAGAATGGTTAGTGTATTCATTAGAACTAATTACAGGTCAAACATTGAGGTACTAATTGAACTTACCAAGTATGGTCCCAATTGTGTTACACTGTGACCATGCAGACCTGGCATCAAACTCCTTTGGAAGCATCAGCGATCTTGGATAAGTTTTGACAGGGACATCATTTAGCACACTATGCGGTGTTGGCTTCACTCCAAGGATATGTTTGAATTGCGCAGTCTGTACAGGAGGATTATTGAGGCCACCGAACAAGCATGAGATAAATGTTTTGATGTATGCAATACTAACAACAACAGGAAGGTGTCCCCGCAAAAAAAAAAAAGAAAACAACAACAGGAGGGTGTTGTTATTTACAGTATAGTTTGCAAAGTATGGATTCCGTGCAGCCGTCCAGCCAGCATTGGGATGCTTGTTGATTGCCTTTATGATGTCGTCCTGTGACAACAAAATACCATTGAATGATATGTCATGAGTAAATAAGAAAATACAATAAGGTGAGAAGAACGAATTGAAATAGAAAGGCATAACCTGGATGATTCTTGAACTGCCGCCCTCCTTGGTCATGAGCTGGAGATTTGGGATTGGCTTTGCAGCTCTGCCTGCCTGTGCATGTGTACATACAGATGTGATTCAGCTCACAACATAATTCAAGGTACAGTTCCTTCTCTGTTTTGTTTTGTGTAGAGGAAACATGAAGCTTTTGTGTGCTTGTATTCTTTTATTTTTGTGAGGGAAAGGGAAATTCATTAAATAAAGTAAATTTCAGAGAACTGCAACTATTCTATCGAAACTATCGGTTTACTACAACTTTAGTCAGACATTTCAGAAAACTGCAACAATAGTACACGGTGTTATCATAAAACTGCAGCTTTATACACTTGACGAATCTAGACCCATTAGTCAGGCATTTATGTAAAACTCACACAGTTACACATCGAGCCCACATGTTAGACACACGTGGTGGGTTAAAGTTGTAGTTTATTGATAAAATCATTTGCTAAAGTTGTAGCTTTGTGAAATGGCTGACTAAAGTTGTAGCAAAGTGATATTTTTGATCAAATAATTGCAGTTCTATGAAATTTACTCTTAAATAAAGTGAACTGTCGGAAAGGGAAAATTCATTAATCATGAGACAATTCCTCACACATAAGATGTGAAAATGAGGTACACCAATTATAACACTGGAAGCCTGAAGGAGCTTCCTATTTTGTGAAGGATTAGTCTTTTGTAACTGACTTTCCATATTTCTGTTTTGATCAGAATTCCCCTATTTCTGGTCATGAGCAACTTTGTCTCCCTGACCCTAAGTATGCTTAACTCAGATCTATCTTTCTCCTTGATATAAGCAAATCTATGACACCACTACAGTCCATTTCAATAATCAGATGTCCACTGTAGGGCTGTAGAGATGCCTCCAATGCACGCAAGTGCGTTTTTCTATTCAGTAATCCATCCTCAGACTAAGGAGAGAACTAGCGCAAATAGTAATGGATGGAGCATATCTGCGGCAGAAAATCTGCCTGCCCCAAGAAGAAATTTCAATTGGATTCCACCAGTAAAGAATCGAAGATACTTGATTGGATCTTAGTGTTAGCTGTTGGTTTTGTACAGTAAAAAGGTGAATTGCTGGTCGAAATGTATGGATAGATTTGAGACGGCTAGATCGCAGAAAGAAAGAAAGAAACAAGTAAAGGTGATGAGAAAAGGACCTGGGGGCCAGCAGCGACGAGGATCAGCAGCAGCAGCAGCAGAGGCATGCCCATCTTGTTGGATTGCAGCTAGGGCCGATTGCCTGTGTTCTGAAATCTGAAGGTGAGGACTGAGGAGGATTCCTCTTCCTCTCCACTCTCCAGACCTACAGCTTGCAAAAATGAACAAGTCAATTAACAAGAGGATGGATGTGGGAGTGGGATTAATGGTAGGAGATGATAGTGGCAGAGCAAAATATCTTTGGTTGGGATACCTTGAAGAGTCCTCCACTCCTTGCGTGTTGCTGTTGGTGTTGCTTGCTTCTCTTCTCTTCTTTCCCCTACCTCAGTCCTCAGCAGCTCCCCCCGGCTGTGCCCCCGGTCTGTCTCTCTCATTTATTTATAGCTGTTGTGCCTCTTGCTGCCATCATAAACAAGAGGGGAAAAAATAATAATTAAAAAAAAGCATCAATAGAGATGGGCGCGCAGGTACTAAGAGCAAAAAGTTTAATAGTAGTATAACCAACTATTAGCTCTAAATCATCTATAGCTAATATAATAGTCAATTCATATAATAGTTGCTTACTATACTATTAATACCTGATTCTACCTATCATACACATATTATATCTTGAAGTCTGTATTGCAGCTGGCTAAAGATTTATAGCCCGCTACTTTTTTTCTTACTTTCTTTATCTCTTTTAAAATATGTTAACGAGGTGAGGCCGTGAGGCGAGGCACACGAGACAGAGACCGCTGATTTTTTTTCCCTATCCTTTTCCTTGGGAGCACTCGCCGTCTCGCCCATTCCTCCACCAACTGATTTCCTTGCGTGCCGTGCTCGCCGTTGGCTGTTCTTATTGCGACCACGACCAACTGAGGCCCCCTTCATTTCTCCAACTAATTAGACGAAGATAAAAATTTTCGTGGCATGTTTTTTAAATTGCTTAACAGTATGTTTCGTGCGAAAACTTTCTATATGAAAGTTACTCTTAAATATCATATTAATCTATTTTTCAAGTTTATAATAATTAAAACTTAATCAATCATACGTTAATACCACATTGTTTTGCATAAAAAACATAATCTTCATCTTCAGGAGAAAAGAACACCACTTGAGATATATTGAGTATATTATAATTAAGGTAAATCTAAACCGAGAGCGTTCTCAGTTTAGTTTTAACGAGTGACGCACTCATACGCATACGTGAGTGATCCACACACTTGTTAGTGCCTTAGCGGTCGGTTACAAACCATTCATTCTATCTGTCATATCATCTTCATTAAAAATACCAGAGATAGATACCTAATGCTTGTTTCCCCACATTGTTGACTCTCGCGTCGCCTTCCCCATGGGTTGCACCGGAGGCGAAAACCTCGCCGCTCCCCTCCTCCCCCCCCCCCACTCCTCCTTCGCCTCGCCACCGCGCGAGTGGCCGCCGGCAACGCCACGCGGCCGCAAGGACGGCGGCGGCGGGGCTTCGCCCACCTCGTGCTTGGGCGGCTAGGGGAGCCACTCGGGGTGGCGGCGGTCCGGCCAAATCCGCGCCGCACCGTCTGGATCTAGCGAGAGGGCGGCGGCAGTTCCGATCGACGGAAGGTGGTGGGACGGAGGAGGCGGCTGGCGGCAGCAGTGGAGGTGGCCAATGGCGGTGGGGTTAGCGACGACGTATGATGGCGATGGCCACGTCTCCGTGGCGCGTGGCGTCAAGTGGCTGCGAGCAGTAGGGATGAGACGGTAGCGGGGACGGTGATGGCATTTGGTGGCGATGGTGGATGCTACGGATCCGGAACGGCCACGCCCGGATCTAGCCGTCCCGTGGGTGGATCCGGCAACTCCGCGCTGGATCTGGCTGGCCACGGCGCGGCAGTGTGGCTTCGGCAGGAGGTCGACGGCTGGACAGCGAGTGGCAGCGACGGCTGAACGACGGTGTGGTGTGGGTGAACGATGATGACGGCGAATGTGCTCAAGCTGATGAAGGTGCCGGCGGCTACCAAGGTTGGCGCGGGTGGCACCGGCACGGAGGCCGGTGCCGGGTGTTCCTGGATCGGTGGCCGGCGGAGGCTAGCGCGGCGCAAGGACACGCGACTGGCGGTGGAGGCTGGCACAGTGCGACGAGGGTGGCCGTGTGGCGGCACGCGGAGGCTAGCCGGCGGATGGTGCCGATGCAGCGGTGACCATGCGCTGACGAAGGATTGACAGCGGTGGAGCATGGTGCATCAGTTGTGGATAGACAGGTGGTCGGCAGCGGGTGAAAACCCAGCCCAGACTTGGCCGAGCTGGCAACGAGGGCGTTCTCGAGCGTCCCTTTCCCTCTTGAGGGCCTTGCCATGCTGTCCCATCTCCTCTAGGGGGCCTGTCGAGTGAAAACCTAGTCCTGGTCTCCCTGAGACCTCGACGGACGACGACGGCGGTGCTTTCGCCGCTCCTCTCCCTGGAGACATTGTCTAGGCACACCTCTTGACGAAACCTCCCTGACAAACGGTGCAAGCTCGCTGTAGATTCCAGTCCTCTTGTGTCGAAGCTCTAGCTTATGCAAGTTGACCACGTCGGAGGGCCTAGGAGGGAGAGCGATTCCATCATTCTTTCTCACCCTCTCTCCTTGAATCCCAAAGATGTGGATAGAGTGCGGTTAGTGTCGGTTGTTAGGATAGTGTTTTAGGTGATCCCGGTTGTAGCTCCATTGTTGGCCTAGCTGTTGGTATTTCTTAACGACATTACTAGAAATATAATTCCCAGCAATGGCGCATAAATACTCTTGGTATATTATGGTTACAGAGTTCATTCGCAAGCGCACGGATATACCATTGTAGCATTTCACCCGAGAGTATTCTAAGGGTATCGTATTTGTTTAATCCCGTGGGAAGATCATAGTAGAGAGAACCGTACTAATAATTTATATGTTACTTGTAATAATCACAGTATAAGCAGGGGTTAAGATAAATCAAGGGTAGAGTGACACACAAGCAGGGAGCTACTCATTCTCAAACTAAAATATCTAAGCTAAGTGGAAAGAAAATAGAAAAGAGAATCTATTCATATACTTCTAGTATACATATATTCTAGTTATACGATTAACTAGCTAATACCCTCTTTTCGATGCCCTCCTAGTACTTCGAGAAGCCACCCTTGACTGCCGAGTTCGTTACGACAGCCCGTCATGACCATACAACGGGGTTAAATACAGAGGAGTACCTGTTGATGGTCGTTAGCGATTAGTTTCGACCGTCAATATTACCAAAATAGAGGAGAACTAGTTAGGCTTGCAATACATATACATGTTAGAATAATAATATTCCACTAGTATTTGGTTCACTAACCCTTTTGCAGAGAATAACCATAAAGTAGAGGAGAATCGACATCGAATCAGACGATAAATCAATCGGTCGATGTCGAGAATCAGACTTATGTAGGAATGGGCCAAGAACATAGAATTGACACGATAAATTGGGCCAAAATTCACAAGTCTGCAGTGAGCAACAGAAGAGGAGGCCACCTGCCAAGTTTGAGCCAGGTGGGCCCAGCCCATGGTTCGGCCGAACCCCCTGCAGCGCCATTCGATCCAGGTTTCTCTTGGACGGTTGAGATGGCTCCCCAATGACGGTTAGTGGGTATTACCGACCTTTCCAACCATCACAACTGTAATTGGGAGGCTATAAAAGGAGCTCTCATCCTCCCTTCACTCACACACCTCAAGTAAAGCTTTCTCATATTCTCTCAAGTTTAGTTTAGTATTCTTAAGCTAGTGGAATAGGAATAGAGTAGAAATCGGAGTCCGGAAGCCTTCGGAAAAGTTCGGGTATGGCTCTAGTAGCTCTTCTCTTCTCTTTTGTAAGCTTTGTATTATTATTACAATACTCTTCTTTATACATTTATGGTATTGGAATACTTTCTAAGTATATGAATGCCAACTCTATATTATGTTCATGTTATACTGATTATACTACTAGCTTATCTGGGAGATGCTTTGGTGTGGGTGTAATATTTGCTTATGCAATTACTCTATGTTATGACGATGATATTAGAGTAGTATCTGGTACTTTAGACATGATGTCTAGATTACGAGATATCATTATTTGGGTTACGACCTCCCAGGGTTATAATCTTGTATTTTTTTCATGCTTTATCAATATAAACTTTGCGCTGTATGGTGCGAGTCGTTCAAAAAAAAATGCTTGTTTCCGGTGGTTAGGAATGCAGATCAAAGCAAATGTGGAAGCAAATGCAGGGTTAATCAACCATCTCATCGCCAAAATCCAACAAACTACATTCGCTGATGTGTAGCAAGTGCTCGTCTCCGTGGATTGGCTTGACCAACATCTATCAACTCTGGAAACTGGACTACATTTCTTTCTTCCTTCCTAGCTTCTTACTGAACGAATTAACTTTCCTTCATTGCTTGTTTGCTCCTCCTTTTATTGAGCGATGGTCGATCCATTTCAGTTTGACGAGACAGCCGTACTGAAGCACTTCAGCTGGTTGGAGAGAAGAGACGACATACTCTAGGAGGCGGCCTTCGAATACCGTCATCTCAACTCTCTTCTTAAACAGATGACAGTTTAGGCTCGTCACTGATGATCTGGTTTGGCGTAGGGGTTCGATTTCAGTTAAGAAATTTAAATTTCGGCCATTAAATCATCCAGAGCAAAATATCGTAGAGTACCCATGTCATGTGGGGGATTCAGTTCCAGAGAAGGAGGCCTGGCGCGACGGGAGAATCAAGTGCGGCAATTGCTTAGGAATTTGGTTTTATCTTTTTCTTAATATTAGTTAAGTTTGTTAGCAAGTTGTTAGAAGTAAGTTTGCTATTTAAAGGATGTACTTTGGATGTTTTAGATCAACAAGAATCAGATTAATCCTTGTCGTGCTGCTCGACTCCGGCTCCATGCACAACTTCATCAACTCCACCGCCGCCGTATGCACCGGCGTCGTCCTTGACCCCCGACATGGCCTTCACATCCGCGTTGCCAATGGCGACCGCCTGGATTGTGGGGGCGTCGCGCGTGACGTCCCGTTCAACAATGGCGACACGACGTTCTGCTCCGACTTCTTCGCCATCCACCTCGATACGTTTGACGTTGTTCTGGGCGTCCAATGGCTCCAAGATTCTAGGTCCCATCCATTGGGACTATGCGCAACTCAGCGTCACACTCACACGCGCCTCGCTGCCCGTCACCTGGCGGGGGATTGGCGGCCCCTCCGGCGACCAGGGTGGCCTCGCTTTCACGTGTTTCGGGCCCGATACATTAGCTGATGAGCTAGGGAGGGCTTTAGCACTCTCTTCGCTGCCCCGCACGGGCTGCCACCGCCGCGATCACGCGACCACCACATCCATCTGCTACCGGACACCCGCCCCATGGCAGTCCAGCCATACCGCTATGCCCAACACCAGAAGGATGAGCTAGCGCGACAGTGTGCAGACATGCTCGCCCAAGGCATCATTCGTCCGAGCTCGTCCACCTTCTCTGCCCCTGTCCTCCTCGTAGCACGACAACAGTTGGCGCTTTTGTGTCGACTACCGTGCCCTCAATGATCGCACGATGAAAGACAAGTTCCCAATTCCGGTATCAACAAAACAGTACAAAAACAAGCATAAACAGTACATGTGGATATTTTTAACATGTAGATCTCGATTTTAGATGAATTTAGCAACTTGAACCACTGGAATCCGACTTACGATGATTTAGTTATGAATTTCCAAAGTTTAATCAGATTTTCATCTAATACAAAAAAAATATTACGATTTAAATAAAAGATTTATGGTGTCATCACGACATCATCGCCGGCCATGGCCTGGACCACAAGGTTACCAGCGCTACAGAGCTCGGTTGGGCTTTCCGAAGACACCAACATGAAGAGGATGACGACACGAACTCACCGAAGCAAAGAACTACGACGAACGATGACAGACGATGAACTCCGACGGCGGCACGGCTCGGCTCGACGACGGCGACGGCTCTCTGGCGAGATGCAGCAGCGGCGAAGGGGCGGACGGGATGCTCCTCCACCTGGCTGTTGATGCGAAAAATACACACTGGCCTGGGAGATCTGCTTAACTCCAGTGCAAGTCCAAAGATTGATGAGATGCGGGTGTGCCAGTCAGTTTGATCCTGCAACTGACAAGATATGTAAACAGCAGATAAAACAGCCGATCGGCTGACAAGCCGATGGAGTAGTTCCAGCCGATAGCCGATAATAGCCGATGCCGATACCAGCCGATAGCGATAGGGTTTAAGCAATCGGCTATATGTCCAATGTAGATAATGATATGAAGGCAATCGGCTGATGATGATGTAATAAAATAACAATATAATCCAGTATAAACCAATCGGCAAATAATGATATGATAAATAAGCATCGATCCGAAGGTTAAAGCACACATCGGCTGGAGGTCCGATGTCATGAAATCCACAAGATTAGATTAAACAATGAAACCTTTGTTGTCATCGGCTAAATCCAACTTATATGTATGTGCAATCCTTATGAGCCGATGCAACGTCCAGATAACTCACCGGCTGAAACCCCGATGAAACCCTTATTGGCAATAAAGAAGCAGGCTGGAGATTATGGTTCTAAGCACGACATAGTAGATCAAAATTAACTGATGCAGCACTAAATATGAAAAGAAACATAATATCTAGACAATCAAGCCGTTGACTGAGTTTTCAGGGTGGTAGATGTCTAAGCTAATCTAATCTAGCAACACGATTTAGCCGATACCGGCATAAACCCTAAAACGAGAAGCAGCCGATAGAGCTAAATTGATATGCTAAGACTAGATTAACAAAGACATATGATAAATAGGTAGGCAAATATATCATCCAAACCAGAGCAATCCAAGAGGTCGAATGTACTGATGCTGCCTTAAACGATGCCGACGTAAACGATACAATTGCCTGGACAGTAGGAACATTGGACTTACCCCTTAGCCGGAGATCGAACACCGATGCAGCCCCGCGTCAGGTGCCAAGTCCCGCCAGACGATAAAATAAAGTAGAAAAGGTAAAAGGTGGCGATGCGCCGAATTGTATTGATCGTAGCGATAGATTACATAGACCCCGGGTGTTCATATTTATACCCATGGGTTGATACAAGTCCTTTTCGGAGAAGAAAGAAACTTTCCTAAAGATAAAAGAAAAAGATAAAGTCCTTATAGGACACTAAACACACTTTCCTAAAGATAAAAGGAAACTAACAGACTATTCCTAATTAATAGATAACTTGCCATGCCACATTCTCTTTAAACTCGGTCTCTTCTCGATAAGCTTCCTTTAGTAGATCAATTTCCTTAACCGAATATAGCAAGAATCCGACAACTGACGACTTGACAACTCTCATCGGCTAATCTCAGGACTTCAAAGCCGATGCTGACTCTAAGCCGATGACTATTCCGGGCTTACCAAATTTCACTGTTAACACTGGTGAACCCGACGGTGGTGACGGAAGGCGGTGGCAACGACCACAGCGGCGGCGCAAAACGGTTGAAGCAGCGACGGCGACGGTGACGCTAGGGCTCACATGGCGGCGGCGCTACGGGCGACGGCTGCAGCTTGGACTTGAGGCAAACGGAAGAGGACGACTAGGGGATGCTATTTATAGGCTCGGATTAAAGAGATCGAACTCTAAACGAAAGGAATCGAAACCGGAAAATCCGATGGTTAGTTTGGAGAGATAAACTCGAAACGAGTTTGATTTAGTTGAAATACGAGGAATTAAACTCCGGCTTTTTGAGGGAAATGAAAGAGGACAACGAGGAGATAAATTCCCCTCATCCAATTGGACTCAGGAGCAACTGATGGAGGTGGATTCAAAGGGGAGGCGGCAGCAGCTCGGGCTCAGTCGGCTGGCCTGAGGTTGAAGAAGAATAGTGCCGAGGGAGTCATTGTAGACTTTCAGAGAAAAGGAAAAAGAAAAGAAAAGAAAAGAAAGGAATGGAGCAGCAGGCTGGCATGGCTGGCAGCCCGAGAGAGGCTTTGTGGGCCGAAAATGACCCACGGCCTAGAGAAAGGTTTTAATACTTTTCCTTATTTGAATAATTCGTGAAATGCTATTTCGTTGATTAAAAATACTTCCCTTGCTCAAATAATTCCCAGAAAAAATCCAGGAAACAGATAAACAAGCAAAGTATTTAATGAAATTTCATCTAACTCAGTTTTATGTTGCGATTTTTCCTAGATTATTAGAGTTCAACTTGTAAACTTTTAAAATAATTTCTAAAAATGCATTAAAGAATGAACTATTAAATTAGGCGATTTTCAGGGCGTGACAATCGCTGTGTAGAAGAAATCGCCAACAACAACTCTCAAACTGGCTCAACTAGTAAGATGTTCTTAATTTCTCATTAGCCGATCATAGCCAATCTTATGTTAACACTTATCTCTTTTTGCAGCCTCCTCCTCCTCCTCCTCCTTCCCCTGTACAACAATCACCAAGTAACCAAACCCCATCGGCTACAGGGAGCCATCATGTTGAAGAAGAAGAACAACCAGCTGCTCTTGCTATCCCAATACGTTTCCCTTTGATACAAGAACTTAGATCGGCTATATCTATTTAGCTTCTAACTATTCCTAAATTATTCTTGCAGGTCTTAGCCGATCTGTTCTCTTTTGACATTAAGGACTATCTCGATGAGACAGAAGAGGATACCACAAGCGAAGCCTTGGCCCCTTTATCCGATGATGTGAAGAAAACTCTTGAAGATATCTCTTATCGGCTAGAGGCATCATCACTAGACAGTTTGGTGGTCGACTGTGGATCAATTAGGGCCCGGCTACACGAAGTTCAAGCTTTAATTCCTGAAGAACTAACCGATGTCCTCACTCCAGCTGCTTATTTTGAACAACATCAATTCAAACTGGAGAAAGCCAAGCAAAGACTAGTCGAACGCCGAGAACGCAAAGAGATTGAGGCTACCATCCAGGCCAATCGGCAACTCGTGCATGAAGAGAAGTCAAAACTTGATCAACTATCTGAGGGCCCGATCAGGTCTAATATTGATCGGCTTGAAGCTCGAAAGATTGAGCTCTTGGCACAATTCCAAGAATGCAATGCCGAAGTGGTTCTGGAACACAAGAAGCTAGCCGATCTCCCATAGTCTGTCGAAGAACAAAAGGCAAGGCTAAAATCGGCTATCAAGAACGTCGCTGATATGACCAAGTCCCTAAAAGTCATCCCTGGAACCGATGCTCAGGATGCCCAATTCATTGAAGAAGTAGAACAAATTGGGCAAAGAGCTATATCGGCTATCCAGCGCTACTTGTCTCAGTGATATTTTGTGTAATAGACTCTAGGAATTTTATGCCGATTCAATATAACTCCATATTTTGCTAAAAAATTTGCAATTTTGCAATTTCTCATATATGTGCCCCCTAATTTTATAATGTCCAAAACATTGATAAAATTATAATTTGAACTAAGGGCGATATAACAATATCAGCCATTGTACATCGGCAAACCACAACCGATTACAATATGAAAACAACTAAGGGCGATATAACAATATCGGCCATCTCAAGGCGCTGCAAATGCATCGGCTATCATGTACCGGCAACATCAGCCGATCATGCATTAACCTAAACACTTGGGTAATATTTCTTCAAATATTTTCCATTTAGTGCTCGTCCATAAACTTCTCCATCGAGTCCTTGCAACATGTAAGCTCCCTTAGATACAACCTTATAGATTTGGAACGGTCCTTCCCAATTCGTTGACCACTTGTCCGAATTTACTATCCCGAGTCCCAATCGGCAAAATTAACTTCCATACAAGTTCACCTTCCAAAATAATCTTGGGTACCACCTTCTTGTTGTAATGCCAAACAACTCGTTCCTTATCCTTGGGTACCACCTTCTTATTGTCGGGTTCATCTTCAAGCCATATTTCCTAGTTCTCTCAAAAACCTTCCTCAAATCGGCTATATGGTTCTCTATCTCTTTAGACTTAACAACCACATCATCAATATAGACTTCAACCAACCAGCCGATCAGATCATGATATATATAATTCATGGCTCTTTGATATGTTGCTCCGGCACTTTTCAAGCCAAAAGTCATTACAACCCACTCAAACAAGCCGATTGCACCAGGACACCTAAAAGCCATTTTATGGATATCCTCTTCGGCCATGAAAATCTGATTGTATCCTGCATTTCCATCCATGAAACTCAATATCTTGTGTCCTGAAGCAGCATCAACCAGCTGATCGGCTACTGGCATTGGATACTCATCCTTTGGGGTAGCTTTGTTTAAATCTCTGAAATCAATGCACACCCTAACCTCACCATTTTTCTTGATAACAGGAACTATACTAGAAACCCACTCTGCATATCGACAAGGACGAATAAAACCAGCATCATATAAACGTTTAATCTCAGCCTTGACGGGTTCAAGCATATCGGCCTTGTATCTTCTCGGAGGTTGTTAATGTGGTCTAACCCCTGGTTTGATAGGTAGCCGATGTTCAACAATAGATCTGCTGAGTCCTGGCATCTCATAATACTCCCAAGCAAAACAATCTCTGAATTCCCTTAAGAGCTCTATCAACTTGGTTCTAAATTATGGAGATAAGTTCTTACTGATAAATGTCGGCCTTGGTCAGTCACCCGGACCTATATCAATCTCTTCCAAATCATCAGCCGACATGAAACCCTGTCCTTGCTTGTCATCGAGATCATCTACTGTGTCCTTGGTGTAGACGTTTGAACCCTTCACGATGCCCTCAAAATAATAGCTTGGGCTCTCGATCTTCAATTGGCTGTCGGCTGGCATGATTTCAATCTTGTCGCCTTGCCACTGAATCAAGCATTGATGCATGGTTGAAGGAATACAACAATTGGCATGAATCCAATCCCTTCCAAGCAACAAGCTGTAGGAACCCTTCCCATCGATGACAAAAAATGTTGTAGGGATAGTTTTGTTGCCGACTGCTAGCTCTACATTTAAAACTCCTTTGGTTTCCGATGGATTGCCACCAAAATTTTTGAGCACCATATTTGCATATGCTCTTATGGCACCAGTGTCGCTCGCTGCCCACTCAAATGCTTCTTTTGTTAGTGTATCATCTCGGCCAACCGTAGTACATACACATAGTAGTGGTCCTCCTGCAGTCATCGTAGACAATTCCATCTGCTCTTTAAAGTTTGGCTTATGATTCTGATGTGACCATTCAGATTCTTGCAGGTAATAGGTGGACAGCTTTTGAAACTACAGACAAGCAAAGGATATTAACCACATAGCAATATTTGCACTTTTTTGCGAATCTATGTAGCAATATCGTTATGCTACTACACAACTCAAATAGAGATACTTTTCTAGTCGCAATGTACTCGTCGTTTTAGATATGCATTTATACTCTATTTAGATTTAGACAACGCATTTAGACTTACTCGTCGTTTTATGTACTCGTCGCAATCTAAATATCTTAAATTTATATTCCATTTAGACAATGCATTTAAGTCATAATTGTAAATTTGTTCCAAAAAAAATAATTACTACATATTTTCTTTATTTTTTCTAGAATTGTTATCATTTTAGTTGTTTAATAAATTTTTAAATTATCAATTAGTGGTCTTACTCTCTCCATCCACTTACAAAGTACATACATGTACTTCAAACATTTCAACTTCATATACTTTGGTCATTAATTATACTAACCAAATTATACACATTTTCTGTAGACAAATTATTCTGATCGATTAGTATTACCTCAGTCCCAAAATATAGTTATTTTTAGCACAATACCTTGTCTCGAAATGATGCTATTTCTCCACCTACCTCTACTCAACCAATCACAACATTCTCTTTCACCTACTTTATCTTATATTAACTATTCACACATTTTCTCCAATCATTCTCACCTACTTTATTAATACACATGCCAATCTAAAAAATATTTGCATTTTAGGACGGAGGTAGTTTAAATTACTTTCATATGATGTTGGTGGCTTCACTATAACATATCTAGGCCTTTCTGACCGATTCCCTGTGATGACTGAGATATCCGTCATTAATCTAAGACGATTAAGGTCCTTAGTTCTGCCTCGGCTGATTCTAGTGACAGCTTAAGGTCTTGGTATTGGTAAGAAAAAAAGGTCACGGCATCAAACAGGGTAATAACAAATGCTTTGAAATTCGTGTTACAAGTTGGGCTGGCACACAGTGATGAACAATTCCGTCATAAAACATGGTAAGCAGGGTCCTCATGACGCGGACCACATTTAGACAGTACCATTCATATGTATGAGATTCTTTGTAAACATTGGTCATAAAGGAGCCCTAATTCCTATAAGAGTCAGAGCTGCACAACGATGATGAAGTAGTTTCGCAATATATAGCAGTAGCTAGCAATAGTTGCTAATTAAGGGTCTCACGCATGTAAGAATGAGATAACGTAGAGGAGGAGACAGTTTTCTAATGTTTACATGGATTGTGTGCATATGTTTAATTAGGGTTTGCTTTTCAAATCAGCATGTGTACGTCTCGCGTGGTTTGTCTGGTGGCTACATCCTATAGTCTGGCATAGTGGCCTCTTGTGAAAACGTGTTGATCAAACCATGTAGTTCCCTCTCCTGATCAATAGTGAATGTGAAAGATACGCCCATGCTAAGTAGTCGAGCAGGCGCCATTGATGTGATGCCCCGGAAAAAAATGGAGGTGAAAATAAAAATAAAACATGAGAGAAAAGAGGATTGATTGGGCTGCTTTGCTCCTTGGGTTTGAGATAGCGTGTATCAAGTTGCGCGTTAGACCGCGTTCGAATATCTCTTTTTCAATTTACTACTTCCTTGTTTTTCCGTGGCATGGTGAGTACGAATGTACTCAATCGTTGGTTTTCCCCCTTTCCCCAACACGAGTGAAGTGAAGTTGAAAGTTAGCTTTTTCTTTCCTAATTCAAAGCCGTTGCTTGTGGATTGTTTTCTAGATACTCTAAATTCTGCTGCTGCTTCCCTGCTTGCCGATTCGGGGTTGTTCCGAAGGTGTGGTTTACTCTCAACTATTATTTTTTACAAATGCCCCTTTTTGTCCGGAAGGTGTTCATAGATGGAGCTATCCACTATGACGCCCTTCAATTACATGGTCATCACAGAACAAGATATGTGACTAAATTTCGTTTATTCTTGATGAACATGCTTTATAGTTATTGATCATAATATATTGTATCAGAAATCAATGATCAAACTCTAATTTTGAAGATTGTGAGAAGAGGAAGAAACACATGCAATAAAATTGAGCTGATGGCGTATTACTGTTACATACCTCTTTCTTTGTTTGAGCAACCCGATAGCGGCCTTTCACCCCTACTTGATCCTCAAACTCTTTGAAGTTGTTCATAATTTCATTGTACAACGTTTTCATATAGTCCGGCAGGAAAGAGATAGCACTCTCATCCCATCTGCACCAGTTCGATTTGTAAATTCAATGAAAATTAATCACGGCAATGGTGGAAACACCCTATATTTTCTGCAACATATAAAAAACTACATGAAAAAGTTCTTTTAAAAAAACACTCCTTAATTTATGTGCCTTAAAATGTCAGGGCCTGTCTGTCCCATGCACGAACCATGCATCCGGACACTGCAACTTTTTCATCTCCTGATCTAGTACCGCTGATGTCTGAAGGTCCAGGAGGCCGAATGTCATGTATCACTTCCAGTTAATACCACAAATGTCCACGTATCGCTGCTGGACTAAGCCGCCAACCGCCATTCATATAGTGTATCTGTGCCGGTTCAGGAACCGACAGTGTTCCTCTCGAGCTACACTGTCGCTGCCCTACTGCCAGATCAAAAGCTGGCACTAATAGCTGTTTTGAACCAACATGATACTAATACCACATGATCATATACAATTTCAAGATTTAAATCAATTCAATTTGATAGAGGCTTTTGAAAAAAAAACTCAAACTTCACATTATTTTGGTTCTACACTATTCATTAATCTATTTTTGAATTACATATTATTCAAATGAAAGTTATCTAACTAGATCTTGAATTGTGTTACACATGCATGTTTGTATCACACAACCTTCTCTTCATGCATGTGATATTTTGTTTTGAACTTTTTTACATCTTCTAAACATATAATTTCTGGTCTTGTTTTAATCATGTTAATGAATTGCTGGGTTTCACATGATATTTACTCCTAATTGGATGTAGTAAATTTTCCTTAAACCTTTGTATGGCTTCATGCAATTTCCGACATTCCTCGATGTTGGCATGGCAATCATATGTGTCATCCATAATGACAGCTAGTACAAATAACTTGGCAAATACCATCCTTATGACCGCTAAGTCTTCCTCATAGAACACCATGTTGGACCAAACGTATGACTCCACTGCATGGTCCCTAATGTAACTTAGCCCCATGTTTCCATAAAGATCTTTCCACCACCTGAAAATTACGTGATTCAGATGTGTGCTCAGTACTCTATTTATAATAGATTAGTTCCTATTGACTATTTTAGGACTAGTACATATGAACATATACACATACAAAAAACACATGTTAAACAATGTACAGAGGGGTCTTAATAATATTGTCTCTGTAGTGCTGTAGAGGTATGTTTAAAAGCTATGCATATATATGAGCCAGTGAATGCCTGCTACAACCATAGTGACATTAATTCAATACTGTTTTGCATCTAGATTAGGGACATTATTTGAATAAATCTTGTGTTTTTCCCAAATCTCTATATAATTGTTCATTCCACGAAAGATATTATAAGAATATATTCTTTGTTTCGAAGGCCTTCATACAAATTATTCCTTATAGGATTCAAATCCTCCAAGATTCTTGTGTTTTTCATTATCATATTCCCTGTTCTGCAGGCCATATGAATTTTGAACCGCTAATCCCTTTCTGAACACACATCCATCAGTGCTTATCTTTATTTTCCAATTTCCATCGAGTCAACCCCAGTCACTACTAAAATACGATTTTTCATGGCGTTACCCTATAATTTTCACTGGCGGCCATACGCAAAAACCGCCAGCAAAAACATAATGAGAGCTGGAGAGCAACGGACCGCCAGTGAAAACAGATTTTTGCTGGCGGCCACGTTAAGAGGTCCGCCATAAAAAAACTACTTTATTTTTCAAGGCAGACCTCTTAAGTGTCCGCCAGCAAAAAAAAATCTCGTTTTCGCTGGTGGTAGGTAAAGAGGACCGTTGCCAAAAAATTTTTGAGGCAAATATATAAATCCACCGTGCCCCCCCTCCCCCACAGCTCCCTTCTACCTCCGTCTCTCCGCCGCCTCGCTCCCTTCTCCCACGGTCTCTGCTTCTTCGTCCCTTCTTCACTGTCACCAGCTACCGTTGCGATCACTGCCAATGCCACCACTGTCGTCGGCTTCCGTCGCCACCACCGCTGCTAGCTGCCATCGCTTCTACCACCTCTCCGCCGCGGCGGGGCGTGGCCTCCTCTTCTCGGCCGCTGGCCGCCACGAGCTCGGGGCCGGATCCTTTGCCGCGACGATGGGGGCGACCAGATATGCCGCCGTGATGATGAGGGAGGCCGGGTCTGCCACCGTGATGACAGGGGTGGCCAGATCCATCGCCACGACAACGGGGGAGGCCGCTACGACGACGATGCGACTGCCACAGGGCCATGGGCAGCGGTTTTGGCCACGGGAGGGGCGCAAGCTCTGGATCGAGCTGCCTCCAGCCTTGAGGTGTCGATAACGATGGCGATGAGGGGTAGATCCGGTACTGATGGTGATGGTTGGAGATCGGCAACGCCCTGCATTCCCTCGCATCCCTCTCCTCCCTCTCCCCGACAGGGGCAGATCTACGGTGTTCCTACCGGTGTCAGCTAACACCGACGCCCTTCTGCAAATCTTACACGATACTATTTGTTTTTAACCAATGACACCATCGGTGAAAGTTCACTGACACCGGTAGATTGACCAATTCACTACAGCTCATGCAATTAGCAGGTAATAAAAACATGCATTGTTTTATGAAAGCAAAACAGTTATGCTATTGTTAGCATTACACGTGCAAACACCCTGTTTTCCTTTAGTTAATTAATCAACTTCTCATAGTTTTGCTAAGTGATTATTAGAACTAACTTGCTTGGTTTCTTTACTTTGTTCTGATTGTTAAACAATTAATAATTTAACCCGGTGAAATGTGTCATTACTTCTTTTTAGGTTTAATAGATAACAATGTAGAATAATAAGGTATAGAAATAGTGCGCAACAGATAAAAGCTTACATGCATGCATTAAATTTTGCAAAAATGTTTTTTAATACTTAGAAGACATGGTAAGTTGCTCGAATTGTTATCAATCAGTGATATCTATTTCTATGTTGTACTAGTAATTCACTAATGTTAGAACACGTGTAGGACATTATAGATAACTAAGCTTCATGAATATGTGATTTAGATTTATAATTATGTTGATAATATTGGGATGAATTATTTTGTTCCCAATCTTTTATGAAATACTATAAAAATTTAAACCATTATAGTTTAACATATACACTTCAAATCCAGCGTGGATTAAGGATCTAGAACTATATCAAGCAAGGCTATAATAAAATATGTTTTACCTAATGACACCGGTGACTGAAAATCCTGGATCCGCCCCTGCTCCCAGATGGTGGCAGCAGTAGCCAAGGGGGTGGCTTCGGTGGCAGTGATAGCAACCTCTAAGGTCGCCGGCGACCGATGTGTATGTGTTGATATTTGCATATTGAAAATGCTGTGAGAAGTTGATGTAGATGTTTGGACTTTTGGATACTGTGAGAAATTGATGTTTTCATGTTGATGTTTGGATGTTGATGTTTGAAAATCGATTTGCTTCACTGTAATAGAACTATTAATGTGAATCTGCTGATCTGTTGATGAATATATTGATGTAAATTTGTTTTGAAAATCCTATGGAATATGTGGATTTTTTTTTGGAAAATCTCTTCACTGGCAGTTGACCTAAATGTGCCATCAGCGGAAATCCATTTTTCCGGTGGATTTCTAGGATGCCACCTGCGAAATTTTATTTTCGCAAGCGGATGAGGCCCGCCAGCCAAAATCACAATTTTCTCTAGCCTTTTGTTGCAGGCGGCTGGCCGCCTGCTTGCCAAAGTTGATTTTAGCCAGAAAAAAAACTGATTTTGTAGTAGTGAGTCAAGCATTAATTTTCCCTCAAAATGCTGCTACACCCTTACATAAACAAAAATTTAGAAAATTACAAATATAACATATAATTTAATTTGTACTAACTTGTATTAACAGTTGCAAAAAAAGAGAACAGTATATTTTTTCTGGAAAAACAGAGTGGCAAAAAGTAACATTTTTCAAAGTAACACGTATAAGCAAGTAAACCATGCTACAGTCAATCCCTGAACCTATCCAGATCTCCATCTTATACCTTGATATGCTAACCATCTCATCAAAACTTCACATATTGACTTCTGGAACTATTTGTTCATGTCCTACATCAGTCCTCTTATATTTATTCTAGTACACACAAATTAACACCGTACCCTAAATAATGCCTACGCGGGATGTCTTTTAACTTTTTGGTAAATTACAGTTTCCAGTACACACGAATTAACACCGTACCCTAAATAATGCCTACAGCAGGGGGGAAATAACTTTATCAAAAATGTCTTTTAACATTTGGTAAATTACAGTTTCTAAACATCAACACTAGACAATATTTATGAAATGTCTCAAAACCTTCTCTACAATGTCTGTAAGTGGGCTTCTATACAATATATTTAAACAAATATGATATTATTGAAACTAGTTGGGTGTCTTGCGCAATTACACAGCTAGCACCCTAAAAAATTATCTTATTGTTTACACATGATTTTCCTTAAAATTATTAAATAATCATCTCGTTGTCTTAGGACTTTAAAGTTTGAACCTTATAATTATTGGGTTTTCACTTTTATATTTTTAAAAGTTACACCAGTTGCCACCAAGATCTTTACCGTCTCTTTATTTGCTTGCCCTGTCTGTCACGGCTTCTATTCATCCTCCTTAAAACCTTTAACAATTGGATCTTATAGATTTTAGAAAGCAAGTTAAACGCCGCTACCATACTTCTTTACGGCTTGCCCACTGCACCCTTCTTTATTGTCATTTGGATTTAAAATATTGAAGCTATTCATTGTTATGGCCAGGTTTCCTCTTTTTACTTTCCAGAAGTCTTGTCAACCGCTTCAACCCTACTCTTTCATAGCTTGCATGTCACCCTTCCTCTTAATATCATTAGGATTATAAAAATAGAACCTAATCGTCATTGAGGCTTGGTTTTATAGTTTTTAGATTAAATGTTCTATCAACCAAAGCTACTTCTTTATGGTTTGCCGCTACCCGCTCTATCATCATTTGCAATCGTTGTCTTTTAGATTGACCCCTATTTCAGTATTTCTTCTTTTCAATGTCTAGTTTTTGTTATTTCTAAACTGCATTTTTATAAGAATTCTCATTTTCTCTCATTTCAGATCTTATTTTTTATTTTCAATTTTAATTAATATTGTATTATGTTCTTTGTACACTGTTCTTTCAATATTCCCTATTTTGTTATTTTGAATTTCGGTTATTTCTAAATTGTATTCTGAATTTAACTCTTATTTTGTTTCTAATTTATTTTTATATTTCATGTTTTATGCTGCATCTTACTTATTTCAGTGTGTGTTGTAAATGAACCTTAACTTATTTTATGTTTTACTCTCTTCTTTCAATATTCTTAATTTTCTATTCCAAATTTTAGTTATTTCTAAATTTTATTCCTACTTGAAAACTTATTTTTTTTTATTTTCCTAACTTTTTAAAATTTTTATTAATCTCATGTTGTGTTGTACATATATGTTTTTTCATATTCTTTTTAATATTAAATTTCAGTTATTTCTAATTTGTATTCGGACTTGAACCCTCTTTTTTCCTCCTTTCTATTTTTAGAATTTATGTTCTTTATTTCCTGAATTTTAATTAATATCGTATTGATGTCTCCATGGAATATTCTTCCAATATTTATTCCTTTCAGTTTTGAATTTCAGTTATTTCTAAATTTATTCCTTTTAATTTTTATTTGTAAATTATATTTCTACTTGAACTCTCATCCTTTTTCTAATTATGGAATTTAAATTATTTTTTATTTTGAATTCCATTTATTTCTAAAATATATTCCTACATGAACTGTTATGTATTTTTTATTCCAAATTTTAAAATAATCCCATGTTGTGTTCCAGATGATCTCTTCTTTCATTATTTTTAATATCAATTTTTAGTTATTTCTAGATTTTATCCCTACTTGAGCTCTTCTTTTTATTTTTATAATTTCAAAATATATTTTATTTTTAGTTTGAATTTTAATTAATCTTATGTGGTTTGCTAGATGAACTATTATTTCAATATTTATTACTCCCTATGTACCAAAATATAAGCATTTTTTTACTAACACGGTCTCCAAAGATACTACTTTGATCAACAATATTTATAAAAGTAAGATATTTTAAATAAAAAGAGTTTTATATTATGATAGTTTGTTTAATGATAAATCTAGTAACATCAATTTTACATTATTGTGTTTTTCATTTTGTTTGTTATTAATGGTCAAAGTTAAAAAGTTTGAATTGTCACTATGCTAAATATACTTATATTTTGGGATGGAGGGAGTATTTATTATTTAGAATTTTACTTATTTCTAAATTATATTTCTATTTTATCTCATGTTCTTATTTTTTTAATTTTGGAATTTATTTTTTAATTCAGGATTTTACTTAATCTCGTCTTGTGTTGCAGATGGATTGTGTTTTCAATACTCCTTATTTTATATTCTAAATGCTAGTTATTTCTAAATTATATTCCATTCCTACTTGAGTTCACTCTTTTCCTTTTCTAATTTTTTATTTTATTTTGTTTTGATTTCAAATTTTAATTAATCTTGTATTTGGTTCTTTATGGACTTTTTTTTGTAATATTCCTTATTTTTAATTCCAAATTTCAATGTTTGAACTCTCCATTTCTTTTCCTCTGATTAATATTGGAATTTATGACCTCCATAGCGAACATAGTGTCTCCTTTCAAGCCTATTTGATAATTAACAGATACATTTTTAAATATTTTTATGAAATATCTCATAACAGTCTATACCGTGTCTGGTATTTATGAAATAGATTTTTATCATGAATTGAAAGAATTTATATTATAAATGAATTGAAATTAATCTCTACACAAATTTTGGCTTGTAGTAGTTTAGGACATCATTATATCTTATGAGATATATAGTTCATATCATTATTGATTACTTTTATTGTTTTCTATTACTTTGTATATGTGTATATGTCAAGGAAAGATGCGTACTGAGAAAAGGATTTCAGCTCTTTCAAATGGACATGCTGCAAGAGGTTGAACTCCAGCTTTGCGAGATCCAGAAGGACCACAATATGGCCTTCCTCCTGTCCATACTCGAACATATAATGCAATGCTTCCATTCTCTTGTATGCCCTTGGTAATGGTAAGTCTAGGGCACGTTTCACTTGATCAGCTAGAGGGGGCTTGAGCTCACTTGAATCACATATTGATTGAAGATGGTCCCTTGAAAAAGAGATGGCTTCTACGAGTTCTGTCTCATCATGGACGAGGAGGTGTGCGCCATTGTATAAACTTAGTAATCCCCTTGGTTCATTAGATATTGCATCGGTGAACCTTCCATCCTCACCTTTAAATATTTTGAACACATCTGCAGGACATACCATTTCTTTGTATTAACTGTGCTGTTCCGTTTCAGAATGATACACCCAGAAAAAATGAGACTATATATCCTAGTATTCATTAATCAATCTACTTACGAACTCTGCATCAATCTAGTATTTATGCATGTCTTGTCATTTCTATTTAAGCTATATATATATATATACATATATATGTAGTAAATTTGTTTGGTGCTCCATGGTGCCCGGGCACCATTGTTGAAATTGAGTATATACCCAATTCAAATGAGCATGAAACTTTTTCAATTATTTAGGTATTAATATTAACTACTTTACTAACTAGTTGAAAGCAAGTTTGAACTGAATTTGAACTTGTTTTTGTTAGATTTTGATTCTAGGTATATAGCATTCATACATATAATTAGTTAGGTATGTAATCATGGATTGTGAAATAAAGTTAAATTTGAGTTGTTTTGTTGATAGGTATAGGTATGAATCGAATTCTTATAACTAGGTATATACTCACAATTTGAAAATTTTGAAAAATTTGAGTGATTTTGTGCATTTGAAACCATGGTGCCCGGGCACCATGGTGCCCCATATGAGTGTCCTATATATGTATATGTATATACATATATGTATATATATATATATATATATATTACGTATATGTATATATATGTATATATATATATGTATATATATAGATATTACATATATATATATATGTAATATCTATATATACACACACATATAGAGAGAGAGAGAGAGATTGATATATACCTGGTGATACCCAAAAGCCATTCTCCCTAAGCAAACGAAAGCGAAGAGCAACCTCATGGAGGCTATTGCTAGCAAATTGACTTCCATTGATATCGCTTAGTGTGCTGCTTATCTCTTCTTGAAAAAGGTGATCAATTCCAAGACGTTGGACAGCGTCTACTAAGTGCATCTTGTCCACCATGTCATTACAGGTCCTAAACAGTGTACGGACAGCTTGTTTTAGCTTATCGGCCTTATTCATCATCCACTCCTTTGATCGCTGCTTGCACGCATGAATTTGATTAGTTATCTATGATTAACCGAAAGAAAAATATTGGAACCAACATAGTTGAGTTGAGTCAGTAATTTACAATGTATATAACTTGTGTTTGTTGTGGATTTGTTGTCCATATTGTTCGATGACCAATTATATGCCAAAATCAGCATAAAATTAACTACCATAAAAAAACAAATAAGATACACCATCGATGAATATATTTTGTTTACATGAATGAAGTGAAAATTTAAAAACATTTTTTTATAAAAATATAAAAAATATATGCTTAAAAGCTACTGCCAAATACTGCCTACGTTTCAGGTTACAGGATATTTTGACTTTGGCCAAAGTCAAAATGCTTCAAGTTTGACTAAGTTTATAGACAAATATATTAATATTTATATTACCAAATTTTTTTTATTAAATTAATAATTAAATATATTTTTATAATAAATTTATCTTGGGTCAAAAATATTACTATTTTTTTTCTATAAATTTGGTTAAATTTGAAACAGTTTGACTACATCTTATAACCTAAAAAGGAAGGTAGTATTATGCACGCTAGAGGCATAAACAACTTTATGAATCGTCATGTGAAAGCAATGTTAATTAATACTCTATCCAAGTTAAAAATAATTGTCATTTTGGAGTTGTCAAACTTGAAAAACCTTGACTATAAATAACGTCTGAAATATTTAACTTCTAAACATGAAGCATTAATGTTTTTGAAGAATTAATGTTTAAAAGGTACTTTAATAAAACTATATATTTTAATAGAAAATAGTGGTAAAAATTAATTTCGTAGACTATATGTTCTTGTTAAAACGATAATTATTATCAACTTGGAGGTAGTATCTAGATTACCAATTAAAATGTTTTATTGTTACTATTTTAGTAAGAGTAAATTTCAAAAAATATAGGTATATTAATCAAATTATCATAAAACCACATATTTAATGAATTGTATCAAAAAACTATAGATTTAGCACCAAATTTATGTTAAAACTATAGATTTAAGGCCAAATATCATAAAACTACATATTCAGTATTGAATTTATCTAGTTTTTATACTTTAAATATGTAGCACCATTATTATGTTGTAGCTATAAACATTGTAGTTTTGTTACTAAAATTGGTTCTAGATATGTAGTGTTATGATAATTTTGTTACTAAATATTTAGTTTTGTGACACTGTATCTTAAATGTAGTTTTGTGATAAATTTTATGTAAAATATGTAGTTTTGTGATAGTTTGTTCATAGTATATGTATTTTTGTGAAATTTATTCTTTTAGTAAATATATATAATGAGAAAGTGGATCTCATAAGAACAAGATGTGAGTTTGTGCGCATTTATATGGTATTAGAAAAAAAAAAGAACGATGTGTGCTATAGACCTATGTGTCCATAATGACAAGCAAAAAGGAATATAGGGAGAAAGCCCCTAACTATCCAAACTAGCTCCTTTAGCATTCCATGTGTGTGGATAAAACATTCAGGTTGAGCGCATCAGTTTATATATATTTTTTTACTCCTATATATCCCGGTTGGTCCATTTTCTTTTTATTTTCTCTCAAATCGAGTAGGATGTATATACCCAGATCAAACAACAAATCCCCAAATCGAGTGTCATGCATATACCTAAATCAAATCCCAAATCTCCAAATCAAAGTAACATCACAAATCATTCACATCACAAATAAAAATACAAATCCTAATTTACTTACACACAAATCAAATACATCACAAATCTTAAAAAAATTACACACAAATCAAATGCATCACAGATCGATTATACATCTCAGATCCATGCAATGAATCACAAATTCTAAAAAAGAAATTATACATCTCTCAATCACAAATTATAAAAAAAAAGAGAAGAGAGCCGGCGCGCTGCTGCCCTGTGCGCGGCTCCGCTGCCCGCGCCGCGTGCCGCCCGCCGCGCGCTGTGCCTCGCCCTCCGGCTACCGCGTGAGGATGCGCGAGGCCGCCTCCGCGCCTCCCGGCCGCGCGAGGCCGCCTGGCCGCTGCCGCCTGAGAAGTGGGGAGGAGAGGGGAGGGGGCGGATCGAGAGGAGGTTGAGAAGTGGGGAGGAGAGGGGAGGGGAGGGGGCGGATCCAGATGAGGTAGAGGAAGAGATGGGAGGAGGAAGAGGAAGGGATAGGGTGAGTGAGAAGAGGAGGAGATAAAGGTTAGAACTTATTAACTGATCCTTCCATGCGCCTTGGTTCTATTGATCTCGCATGGCGCATGTCGATCTTTTTTCCCGGTTGGTAACACCAACCGAGAGTAAAAATATTTTAGTTCCGGTTGGTGTCACCCACCGGGACTAAAGATAAAGGAGGGGTCTGACACCACCTTCCGTCTTTTGAACCGGGACTAAAAATGATCTTTAGTCCCGGTTGATGTTACCAACTGGGAGCAAAGATCAAAAAGTAGCTCTAACCGGTTTTTAGTGGAATCGGGACTATTTTGGATTTCGGCCGACCAACCAAAGATGGTTTCACCAGTGTATCATGCATGCAAAAGACATAGATATAAAAATATCGTGCTCTTGCCTGTAGTTGCTTCGGTTCGTAGTTGATAAAGAAATCTCCCCACACACTGGGCTGAAAGCTAGATGCCTCCATAGAAGGGGCGGCATCACCAGACTTCTTGTGCGTATATGCATGTAGCAGCACACCGCTCGCGCTCTGTTGTCGGAAGAAGCCGCGAGCTTGGGCACCAGTCGGATTGCAACGCTGAACCGGCTGCAGAACCGGACGACGACCAACCATTCCATGAGAGAGGAAAGGAAGGTAATGGGACATAACTAGCTAGTGCCCTGCCACGCAGTATTTCACGGAAAATTAACAGAAGGTAGGATCAGCCAGAGAATTTATGGAGGTTATAATTAGCAGCTGATTAGTAGGAGTAGTATATCACGATGAAGGCTAGCCAGCTCATATATAAAAGAGCTGCAAAGGTGGTCCGAGATTCCGAAAACACCCCGCGCCATCATCCCTGATACCGGACAATCGATGTGGTTTAACAACATCCACCAAAATACCGCATCGAAGTCATAGGTACCGTTTCTGAAGTCATAGGTACCGCGGAAAGGGGCGATCGCTCGCCTGGTGGCGGTAGCAATCAATTCACCCCCCACCCTCCCTCCACCTGGTTTTATTTTTTTGGCACCGCATTACTTTTCTATTTTAGTAAATTTATGCACCTATTTATACACCTCAAGTTTACACATCTAAAGTTTAGAGACCCAAAGTTTATAAGTCAAAAGTTTATATATCCGATTTAAATTTGAATTTGAATTCAAATATTTTTTATATATAGTATTTCAATACATTTAAAGTTTATAGACCTAAAGTTTATAAGTCAAAAGTTTATATATCCGATTCAAATTTGAATTTGAACTCAAATATTTTTTTATATATAGTATTTCTATACATCTAAAATTTATACACCTAAAGTTTATATACCCGTTTCAAATTTGAATTTGAATTCAAATAATAGTTTATAGACCCAAAGTTTATAAGTAAAAAGTTTACATACCCGTTTCAAATTTGAATTTAAATTCAAATATTAGTTTATAGACCCAAAGTTTATAGGTCAAAAGTTAACATACCCGTTTCAAATATGAATTTGAATTCAAATATTAGTTTATAGACCCAAAGTTTATAAGTAAAAAGTTTACATATCAGTTTAAAATTTAAATTTGAATTCAAATATTTATGGTGTAGTAGGAAGAGAAGAAGGGGAGGAGAAAGGGGGAAAGGAAGTAACGTACAGGGGGAGGGGCGGGTGATCGCTGGGGTGGGGAGGGAGCAATCACCCGCCCATTAGGACTACCCTAGGTACCGCTTTATAATTAAAACCAGCATCATTAATACCACAACTCATATATGTGTGTTTTTAGTAACTTTTTTATACGAAATCGGACGAAGATAAACTTTATCTGAAATTTGTAAAGTTATATGAGTTCTACAACTTTCTAGCTAATGATTTTCTATTTGAGGTTGTTTGGATAACCAAAAATATATATTATAAGGTCTCAAATCTATTTGGATAAGTGAATTTTTAAAATTTATAAACGATCTCGGATGGAGATAGAACCTATACGAAAGTTTTATATTTTGATGAGATCTACAATTTTGTAGTTGACAAAATTTTCATTTGACATCATCTACAGTATTAAGTATGGACTGGAGTATAATTTCTTTAAAAAAGCATTTGCTTCCAAGACAATAATTGTTCCTGGGTGAGATAGTAAGGAGGTTATATATATATTGTTGCACTTAACGGGACGGAGGGAGTACATTCCAAAGAATATGGGTTAAAAAAATAATATGACTTGGGGGAAGTAAAGTGTGATTGTGGTTGACGTCTAATAAAATGCAAAATATTTTTTTGGGTTTTTTCGCACTTAGAAAAATTAAAAAGGGTGCACCCCTATAGTGCTAGTATTAAATTATAATAGGCACCAATGATGAGGTCATTGGTGTAACCTCAATGGTGTAGAACCGGTACCAATGACTACCCTCAATGGTGCCGGTAAATTGATGCTGGTTCCATAAGCATTCAGGTGCAACCTTATCAGTTTGTGCGGTCCTACTCTTCTGTGCGCAGGAGCTGGCTCGCTCTCCATTGTCCTACATTGTCCTATTCAAGCAAAACAACTTCCATTCAGCTACAGTAGCCAGGACATGAAAAAAATCTATATACACCCTAAAATTTGCAAAAAAAAAAGAAACTTTGCAACAATAAAAATTCATCTAGCACCCCAAACAATAAACCAACACACATCTATTCTTCAAAATTTTACAATACTATATTCATATAACGTATAAACAAGATAAAACAAAAAACTAACAGGCTCTCGTATCGCCCACGCGTGGGCGGCTCAGGGGCGAAACCCTAGCCCCCGTCGCCCCCCTCTTCCCACCTCGATCGCTGCTGCCAGAGGGTGTCGCTGGAGAACCGGACGACGGGCCGAGATAGAGGTGGCTAGGTTTAATTGCAGCGGCGCCCTGTCTCTGGCATGGGAGAGGCGGCATGACGTGTGGTGACCGGAGACCGGAGGTGGCGACAACGCACCCACTCCCCAGCGAAGGAGGTGGCGGATCCGGCACCGTCGTGCCCGCATCCGGTACTTCCGTAGCTAGATCTAGTGCTAGGGGTGGGCGTTCGGTCTGACTGAAAAATTCGGTCTCAGTCTTCGGTTTTTTGGTCATTTCAGTCATTGAAAACTCAGCACCGAATTTCATCCGAAAAAACTCAGGACCGGCAAATTCGGTCTCAGTTTTTTCAGTCTCAGTCTCGGTCTGACCGAAATCACTGGAGAAGTTCACCGGCTCAGCGGCAAGCACTGGTGAAGGCCACGCCGCTGCTCGCCAGGTGCGCCGCGGACAACGGCGCTAGTCGGGGCCGCGGTGGAGGCGGCCTAGCTGGAGGCAGCGCCGATGTGGACGGCGGCACTCGTCAGGGCCGCGGCGGCCAGCTGGAGGCGGCGCGAGGCGGACGGCGGCGATCATCGGGGCTGCGGCGGAGGCGGGATGGCTGGAGGTGGCGCGAGGTGGACGGCGGCTCTCGTCGGGCCGTGGCGGAGGCGGATGGCGGTGCTCGTCGGGGCCACAACGGAGGTGGGCTGGCCGGAGGCGGCGCCGACGCTGTGGATGCCCGCGACGCGACACGCGATGGGGATGGATCGGAGGTAGAGGCAGCATGATGGATGGGGTTGATGGCCTCGTGACGAGTGGTAGTGCTGGCTTTTAGGGTTTAGCAATTTAGTGGGCTTATTGGGCCTCCTAGGCCTATTGGCCACAATTCGGTTTTCTCGGTTAATTCGGTTAACCGAAGACAATAACCGAATTGCCCGAAAAAAATTCGGTCTTTCCAGAGCTGAGACCGAATTACTAACCGAATTTCTTGGTCTCGGTCTTTTCGGTTTCAGTCTCGGTCTTTTCGGTTCTGTTCTTCGGTTCGGTCTTATTCTGCCCACCCCTATCTAGTGCCTCCACGTCATATCTGACCGGGGTCGAGTACCAGGGGACGATGGTGGGGAGAGGCACAGTGGTAGCCTCTAGGAGAGAGAGGCCATCGTGGCCGGAGGGGGGATGGCGCAGACGGTGGTAGCGGGCAGGGACAGTGTTGTGGGCTGCGCGCAGCTACCAGGAGGGAGAGGCTGGTGGGAGGACGGCAAATGCCAACCCACCTGCTTAGTTTTGTTGCAAAAACCACCCCATACATACATGCTTAACCAAACCACATGTTTTCATAAGTGTGAGCTGTCAATGCGATTTTTACCAAAATTAAATACTTTTGACATTTTCTATTGTGAGATTCCACAGATAAATTTGCGGACGAGAGCTTAAACGTTGTCGTAGGGAGTTTCGCTATTTGCAAAAAAAAAGTTAAATCAAATATGAAAAATAAGTCTAATGCAAGCACTTGGAGAAGATTAACTTGGCTAGCTTCGCCTGTGGTAAATCTCACATCACCAATAACAGACTGATTCAGTTAAACATGTGTGTGTTAGGATGGTTTTTTCAACAAGACTAAGGATGGGTATGTGCAACAACTTATAAGGTGGAATGTCAAATTTCAAGTGACTTATGGGATGTTTTTTTTTGCAATTTTTCCTTTATTTATATTTTTTTAATCTCGAAAAAAAACATCAATGCAGGTTATTATGTGTAGCTTAGGTTTTTTCCTTTTATGCAGGTGGTGCGTTTAGGGTGACAAAGTTAAAATCAATTTTCATAGGTGGTATGCTAAGAGGTTCGCCTGTGAAAATAATGTTATTTTTGCAGGCAGTCTCCTTTTAGATTTTGCTATGAAAATTGGTTTTCACAAGTGGGGCTAGATCTGTGTGGCCTCTCAACATTTTTACAAGCGTTACTTTTTTAGGTCTGCCTGAAAAATTAATGAACGGAAAATTGCATAAGGCACTCCCTAAATCACTTGAAGTTTGACATGCATTACACCCTAAAAGTTATTTTCGTTGCAAATGTCCACCCACCTGCTTAGTTTTGTTGCAAAAATCACCCTAGTACATACATGCTTAACCAAATCACATTTTTCCTTTATTTATTTTTTTAATCTCGAAAAAAAAACATCAATGCAGGTTATTATGTATAGCTTGTACAGGTATGACCGTATGAAGCCATTGGCGCCGGATTCAAACTAATACCCAGCACAGAGATATACAATCATCAGTGCCGGATTCAAATTATTACCTGGCACAGATGAGTTAATCTGATCTTGCCCAAGATGCTCGCAAGCTCTATCTGTGCCGGGTCCAGAACTGGCACTGATGAGAGGGGTCATCAGTGCTGGAAATTTTGTGCCTGGGTTGACTTCCGGTACTGATGGCTCTTACGAACCAGCACTGATCGACCTGATCTTAATGCCCAAGCAATACAACGGTCCAGTATATATTCCACAGTGTGTTGCCGTCGATGCACTGATACTTTGATAACGATAGTCTTTTACTTTTGAAGATATATATTAAAGACAGTTTAAGTTGTCATTGAATTGTACGATGCGCAATAATTGCAAATTACACCGGCCAGGAAAAATGTAACCAGTTGGTGCGACTAATTATATATATGCTTCTCTAGTACGTGGAGGATAGTTAGAGAGGGGTTTAAATTGGATGTCTGGACGTGTATGGATGTGTCTCTCAGTAACAACCATATGTTGTCGCCTTTTGCGGGCGTTAGCTTCATATATACGAAACATTCCCTACCGTCCAATTTCATGTAACCTATACTAACCTATACTTTCATTCCGCTACAGTGTGTAGGTGCCGGGAAGTCGTCCCTCCGGGAGTACGGATTGTAACGTTGTTATCTCAGTTCCAAAATATAGGATGAATGATACACATGTATAAAAAAGAGATGCATGCATTTACAATTAGAAGTAAAGCGCAACTGCGCAAGTTTGGTAGTCTTTTCCACCCATGATTTAAGGTGTCACATGTTTTGGAATAGTACAATTAGGGCATGCTCAATAATTGAGTCTATTTCTATATATCTCCGAGTCTCACGTCACCAACACTATTCTACACATAAAATTATATACATTAATAGTTGAAACAGTTATGATATAGGGTGGCCCGTTCTTGCAGTGATGACGAATGATAACTCGAAAGTAGCAGCTCGATCAATCCTCGCAGCAACCTTGTACCCGTGTACAACACCTCAACGACGTCAATCACACGAACCTTCACAAATCCAATCCACATAATCGACACGAAGGCGATTGCACGAACGGGTTGACAACGACAGTCAATCCAAGCAACTCCGAAGAATTAGCAAAAATAATAATAGATGAATCTCTGCGAAAGGGCCTATATCCTAGTGGTTTCTTAAAAAAAAATAGATGAATCAATCTAAGCTTACGCTAGCGACACAAACAAACTTTCCCTTAGGGCCGGCTGCCATCCAAACGGCAAGAGAGCAATCTGACTGACGAGGCCCAACTCGAGTTTTCACGCATGACAGAGTCCAACAGGCTCAGCCCATGTAGCACAACATTGAGCCGTAATCTTCTTCCTTTGTTTCTTGGTCCACGTACATATTCAGCAAGCTTTTGCACATGAACATGCATCCTCTTCTTTCCCAGAAGCGTACTGCATGCATGCACTTGGGATCCATCTAATCTTCCCTTTTGAATTTTGATTATCACCAGCCACTACAACTAGAAAAAACATTTTTTGCATAGGACTGAAAACGGTCTCTTCTCAGGCGGACCAAAAACATTTTTGTAGGCAAAGGCCTTCTTATCGCCGATTTTCGCAGGTGAACGGGAGCACGGCACGCCTCCTGGGAAAGAGGGAAGGGGCCGCCTGTGATAAAGAAGGCGGGGCTGCCTGGTAAAATATGCACGCCAAAATTTAAAATTTCCCGCCAATTTTTTTAAAAATAATTTTTAATCAATAATGTTGCAAATAATTAATTAATTAATACATAATACTATTTAGATAGTAACAAACATTTAATACTGACATAAATACATATATTGCAGTAGTGAAAAGTGTTGTCAATATATTACAATAATTTTTACAGTTGTCATTTTGAATGCACTATCTAATTAATACATCATGGCATTGCATTGTTCCACTCCAGAAGAGACTTGTATTTATCACTTGTCGCTAGGCTGTCTTCTGTGTTGAAGAACCGTCCATCCTTACATCCTTATGACAGCACTCGCAATGGATGAAGTGGCAGAGGTCCTGCTGCATATTTTTAATGCCTTTATCGTCAAAGCTTGTTCGATGTTTGATTCTAGGCAACTGCATGTACGGAAGAACGAGAATATATTTGTATGTCATTTAGATGTGCAGTTCTCAATTGGACTTATACGTTGAGTTGAAGACTTACATCCTCTGCGTTGGTCCTGTACCTCACATTAACACTGAGAAATTTGCATGTGTAATAACCATAGAGGGTACTGCCTTTAGGTTGCTTCTAATACTTCGTGACATACACATAGAAGGAATTAGTTAGATACTGCAAGTAAAAGAATTTAAATACATTAAGTGAGTGGAGTATTACCAGCCAGTATGTATGCACTAGTAGCTTCTTCCTTATTTATAGTTGTTCTCCACTCTTTATCTTGTAGTAGTTGTACGCATTGTAAGGATATTAGCGATTCGTATTAAGGAGGAGATTTAATTATAATACATGAAAAGTACACATGCATGGATTAGAATCACTTGCAATTGTAAGATTATTAGGAATTGTGTATACGTCATGTGATTATAATCAAGGGGGTCCAGGACTGTAACAGTCCTGTACTTCGGGTAGATCAAGAAACAAATTTCATGATTGCTACATGGTAACGACGGTGCAGTTAGTCACGGATGAAATAACACAGATGTGTATAGAGAAATCTATGGGATTTACTTAAAGTTGTATACGGCCATTAGGACTCTTTTCCGTTGAAATTTCAGGAAAGCTCGTCTAATGTATTGTACCATAGTAAGCAACTTGATCGTATGCAAGCCCTTCTTGTATTCCGCTATTTCTTCAGGCGTCATGTTCTTGAGCTGTTCAGTGTTTTCTGATAGCGTTACGGTATGCTGGGATTGACAGATCCTTGTTGGATCTAGATAACCGATGGGAACCATGGTCTTCTAAGCATCCATGTATTGCATCCTATAAAGAAAAACCCGTTAATACTAATCACATGCTTATGTAGTATATTTATTTATTTGTGTAAAAAATGTGTGTTCATACTCATAGGCACCATGCACCAACAAAGTTTATGTCCATCTTTTCCCAACGATAGACGGTGACGGAGCGTGGGGCTCCTCACCGGGAGACCGCACAGGCCCCCCTTTGCCAGTTCGGCCGGGGACTCAGGGTGAGATTCTAAGCTCTCTGTATGTGGAAGGCTCGCGAGACAGGAAACACACAAGACACGGGCGATGTATACAGGTTCGGGCCACTGAGAAGCGTAATACCCTACTCCTGTGTTTTGGGAGATCTGTGTATGAAGGAGCTACAAAGTATGAGCCAGCCTCTCCCTTGTTCTGGGTTCCCCATCTGGAAAAGTCCAGTCCCCCCTCCCAGTGGGCAAGGTCCTCCTTTTATATCTTAAGGGGATACCACATGCACCATTTCTCTCTTTTTTGTGGGGACTTACCTCACCTTTTCATAAATGGACGGAGATTTGTATAGTTGCCGTCCGAGTCACCATCTGATGAGACGGCCCACAACTACCTCCACTTTCGCCGGGAGCAGATGCGACGTGGAATCGTGGCTGTCTGCTGACGACATGACCGGTGTCAGACCAGTCACGTCGGTCATTCTTGTCCACCACGTGTCAGCTTAGCAATCTACATGTTCGCCCTTCTTCACACAACATCTTGCCTGTAATGGTTAGGATGAAGCCTGGCATATATCTAACCAGGACTAACGTGCCATCTCTGGGAGGTAACACGCTAGCTCCAGCTGGGGACGAGCGCCTAGAAGCCCTCGTCTTGACGGGATGGGGCGAGGCGTGCGTCAGATCGCCTGTCGCCACCTAACCCGCGATCTGACCGGTCACAGACCGGATAAACGAGTGCACTGCACTGCGTTACATGCGGCGTGACGCGCTCAGCCAAACCGCAATAAATGTGGTTAGGTGAGCCCCACTGTGCTCACCTAACCCATACACGCGGAGCAAAAACCCACGAGGGGTCGGGGCGCCTCGGCCCTCGGGGCCGAGGCGGGTGCGGCCCGACCCCCTCGGGGGGACTAAGAGGAGGGCGAACACATCACCCTCGGGCCCGACGTCCCTCGGGGGTGCCAGGCCACGTGTGCGATTGTGTCTGCCTCAAACCTCCAGTCATGATACTCCTGATCCCATGTCACCGACAGTAGCCCCCGGCGTTATGCCAGGGCGATCGCCCTCTTTAAGGGAAACGGTCGGGCATGACGCCACTCCTAAGGCCTGGTGACAGGTGGGACCGGTCTCCACAATTGGGCAGAAACCCAACGGTCACAAACCACGCACATCGGCAATGGTAACTCGGCTGTCAACAATGAGCGGTCTCTTCAAGACTGCCACATTACTTGAGTAGCACACGAATCTGGACATGGCGATTCGTTTCATCTGGAGATATGGTAACGTCGCTTCGGTCGGCGAGCGTAATTAGCGCGCGCACGATATGATCTATCTCGACTGCCACAACCGCATATCCACCTCATGCGCCGCAAGCGGGCGAATAGGATTAGTGGAAGCGTGGGTGCGAGAAACGAGGGGGCGAAATAGAGGGCGCGAGAAGCGAGGAGCCGGGCACAGCGTTGGCAAGAGTATAAAGGCACTGAAGATGGAATCTGTTTCCTTCCTTTCGCCATTATTCCCCTTGTTTTCGCCGCTTGCGCCCTAACTCCTTCTTTCCTGTGCCCTACCTTCGCCACACGCGCTCGCTCTTAATCTTCTCTTCCTCCGGCGCCATGGCACGGGGCTCCGCTCTGCTCGATGGTAGCGTGCTGCCGCCTTCCCGCATCGTGAGCGAGAGACAGGCTGGGCTGTCGCGCCGCTTCATGCCGGAATCTGCCACCGGCCAGGAGATGGTCACGCTGGGCGAGGGACGCCCGGCGCCAGACTACCTGGGGCGGTCCGTCTTCTTTCTCCCCTTTGCAATGGCAGGGCTGGTTCCGCCATTTTCTTCTTTCTTCATGGATGTTCTGGAGTTCTACGATCTCCAGATGGCGCACCTCACCCCCAACGCGGTGATGACATTGGCCATCTTCGCGCATCTGTGCGAGATGTTCATTGGGGTGCGCCCATCTCTTCGGCTGTTCCGGTGGTTCTTCACCGTGCAGTCGGTGTCGCCGCCATCGGTAGTCGGTGGCTGCTACTTCCAGCCACGGGGGCCGGTGCTGAACCGCTACATCCCCTGCGCCCTCCGCAAGAAGTGGGACGACTGGAAGAGCGACTGGTTCTACACTCCCCTCGCCGACGAAGCGCGCCTCCGACTTCCGAGCCAGCCCCCGGCGCAGGCCTCCAGCTGGCGGGCGCCGGTAGATCTGGGGGATGGCTATGACGCCGTCCTCGACCGCCTGGCGGGCCTGCGATCCCAGGGGCTCACAGGGGCCATGGTGTACGGCGACTACCTCCGTCGTCGGATTGCGCCGCTCCAGCGACGCGCTCGGGGCGCCTGGGAGTACACCGGGTCCGAAGACTTCACGAGGACCCACCAGGGAGTGAGATGGGACTGGGCTCCTGAGGACTTCAAGATATTGGTCCAACGGGTGCTGAATCTCAACTCCGTAGAGGCGGCCCTCATTCCCCAAGGAATCCTCCCCCTCTGCAGCGATCCAGACCGCGCCTCCATCCTGACCATTATGATGGCGGTCGGGGCCTCAGAGGAGCGAGCTCCAAAGGGCCACGACGGCGCAGGCGGGAGCCGCAGGGGGGAACAATCTACCCCGAGAGGGGGTCGTGCTTCTGGGTCCCGCGACAGGGGCCCGGGGAGCAGCCGCCCTGCCGACGCCCGGGGTAAGAGGAAGCAGGGAGGAACACCTCCCCCATCTCCTCCCCGAGGGGGCGGGGCGGCGCGTGCCAGCAGCAGGCGCCCGGAGGGGGCCGCGCCAACATCGCAGCCCGAGGGGGAGCGCAAGAAGAAGCGGCCCCGTAAGATGGGGGAGACAGAACCATCTCGGGGAAACCTCATTTCCCCTCCAAAGTGGTCGTTTAACCGACCCCCTCGCAGGTTCGTCTCTCACCCATCGTGGCTGTATTCACTCTCTCAACGCGAGTTTTCACTCACCCATCTTGTTCGTCTTCTGGTTTTTTCTTTTGTTTCAGCGAGATCCCGTCGCGTCCCTCCCGCCATTCCAAGTCCGGCCAGTCTGAGGCCGAGGATCCGGCAGCCGCAGAGGCCCTCAGGCGGGAATCTGACCGGCGAGAGGCCGCGGATCGCCTACGGGAAGCCGAGGAGGCCGCCCAGGAGGCCGCCCGGGCTCGCCAGGCCGAGGAAACCGCTCGGGAGGAGGCCGCCCGGGCCCGCCAGGCCGGGGAAACCGCTCGGGAGGAGGCCGGATTTTGCCAGGACGAGGCGATGGCGACTTCCGAGGCAGCTCGCGACGAGGCCGCGGGCGCGTCGCTTGGGCCCACTCCCTCGGGCGACGCTCAGGCGACAACTTCCGGGGCGGCTGGCGACGAGGCTGCGGGCGCGTCGCTTGGACCCACTCCCTCGGGCGTCGCTCAGGACCAACCGGGTCCGGGGGACATCCCCGAGTCCGGCACTTCCATCGGCGGCCCGAGCCGCGTGGCATCCTCTCCAAGGCGGCTCTTCCCCACGCCTTCTATCGCCCCACTGAACGCAGAGCCCCTTCTACAGGCCTTGGCCGCCGCAAACACCACGGTGTTGGATGGGTTAAGTGCCCAGGTGGAGGTCCTGCAGGCAGAGCGGGCGGAGCTCGACGCCGCGTGGGCGCGTGTCGAAGAGGGGCGACGCTCGGTGGAGGCCATGGTGGAGGTGGGCCGTAAGGCTCACCGCCGGCACGTCTCGGAGCTTGAAACTCGTAAGAAGGTGCTGGCGGAGATCGCCAAGGAAGTGGAGGAGGAGCGGGGGGCTGCCCTCATTGCCACCACCGTGATGAACGAGGCGCAGGACACCCTCCGCCTTCAATACGGGAGCTGGGAGGCGGAGCTAGGGAAGAAACTCGACGCCGCCCAGGGGGCGCTTGACGCTGCCGCTGCCCGAGAACAGCGGGCGGCGGAGACCGAAGCGGCGTCCCGGCGGCGTGAAGAGGCCCTTGAGGCGCGCGCCATGGCGCTGGAAGAGCGCACCTGCGTCGTGGAGAGGGATCTGGCGGACCGCGAGGCTGCCGTCACCATCCGGGAAGCAACGCTGGCGGCGCACGAGGCTGCCTGCGCCGAAGAAGAGTTCACGCTCCGCCTCCGCGAGGACGCGCTCACCGAGCGGGAGCGAGCTCTCGAGGGGGCCGAGGCCGCGGCGCAACAGCTGGCGGTCAGCCTGTCCCTCCGCGAGGCAGCGCAGGAGGAGCAGGCGCGCCGCAATCTGGAAGGTGCCCGCGCCGAGAGGGCCGTACTGAACCAACGGGCCGCTGAGCTCGAGGCGCGGGCGAAGGAGCTGGACGCGAGGGCGCGCAGCGGCGGGGCGGCCACGGGCGAAAGCGACTTAGCCGCCCGCCTCGCAGCTGCCGAACGCACCATCGCCGATCTGCAGGGCGCACTGGACTCGTCCGCCGGGGAGGTCGAAGCCCTCCGCTTGGCAGGCGAGGTAGGGCCCGGCATGCTTTGGGACGCCGTCTCCCGCCTAGATTGCGCCGGTCGGCAAGTGGGCCTCTGGAGAGGGCGGACCGTAAAGTACGCCGCCAACCAGGGAGGCCTCACCCAGCGCCTCTCGAAGATGGCCGGGGCTCTCCAACGGCTCCCCGAGGAGCTCGAGAAGACAATTAAGTCATCCTCGAGGGACCTCGCCCAAGGAGCGGTGGAGCTCGTCCTGGCGAGTTACCAGGCCAGGGACCCCAATTTCTCTCCATGGATGGCGCTGGATGAGTTCCCTCTTGGGACCGTGGACCGCGCGCGCGCGCAGGTCCGGGATGCCGCCGACCATATCGTCGACAGCTTCGAGGGCTCGGCCCCTCGGCTCGCGTTCGCCCCCAACTCCGACAAGGAGGGCAATGCCGGTGGTGCAGACGACAGTGACGACGAGGCCGGCGATCCGGGCGCATCGGATTGAGCCCCCAGACCCCCGCCATTCTTCAGTTTTTTCTTCTTTTCTTTCTTCTAAGGCCTTCGGGCCTCTTTTTTGTATAGATCAACTTAATCTGTAATCAAAAATGAAGAAATTTTTGTGTTAATTTCATCTTGCTGTGAGTATGAGATGAGGATGATCTGTGCCGTGGTCCTTTTGTGTCTTAGCTTGAATAAGGGCTTGTGCCCAG